CGGTTGTTTGTTTTGCTGAGACTGTGCGCGTCGCCCCGGGGTCACTGGTGTTTTGATGAACATGTGAAAACTGAACAACAATGCGTCGCTATACATAACCTAATTTTCGTTATAAAACCTATTTGGATGACAATACTTTATGCTGTGCCATCAAACTGCCACTTTATATAAAAGGACAGCGGCGCTGAGAGCGTCTATTGAGCGCCAGTCTGGCCCCCAGCGACGAAACCAATGGGAAAGGTGAGGTTGTTATGTGTTCTTACTGTAATATAGTAATCTTCAAAATATTTTGTAACAATCGAGCGTCCATAATTCATCCGTTTTTTTTTTCCACGAACGTTTGCAGATCATTTTTACGAAGACAGGAATTTTCCAGGGTCGGCACCATGAGTGCATGAGCGACTGTGCCGACCTGCACCCTTACTTCAACCGCTGCAACTCCGTCAGGGTGGAGAGCGGCTGTTTTATGGTGTACGAGAGACCTCAATACCTAGGCCACCAGTCCTTCCTCCGCAGGGGGGAGTACTCCGACAACCAGCGCTTGATTGGCGTCAATGACTGCATCCGCTCCTGCCGCATGATTCCCATGGTAAGCCTCAGACGATATTAAAGAGGTATCGGGTCAATTAAAGGGAAAAACTGAATAAACAAAGGCAATGAGACTTACTGCTTCTTAATGTTAAGGCTTAGCACAAACAATGTACAACTTAAGGAAATTAAAGAGTAGCTAATGGTATGTTTTCCTGGAAGTGTTAAAAACAGTCCCTCAAATCCTCATTGCCTAAAGTAGATTAAACCTTAGCATCTTTCTCTAGTTTAAAGGACTTTTGGGGCAAGTACATCCCAAACAACTCAATATTTCTTTAAGCTAAAACATGCTTGGATTTAGCGCATACTGGTACCTTTTATTCAGCCTAAAAAAATGGTTAGTTGAGGAGGGACTTTTTGCTTTAAACTGCTTTCACACACCCTTGTTGTTGTTACTGTGTTACCTGCAATTCGTATTAGAAAGTTGGTACTTATTTATGAACCAAAAAGTACTACTATAAAGCACACATGTGGAAAAAACAATGTATACATATCCCTCTTTCTGCAGCAGCACATTAGTATGAAAGAAAAACTTGTCTGACTCATACATATTCTTGTTCCTGCAGCACCGTGGTTCCTACAAAATAAGATTGTATGAGCGTCCAGACATGAGCGGCCAAATGCATGAGGTGAGCGATGATTGCCCCAGCGTCCAGGACCGCCTGCGTATGTCTGACATTAGCTCGTGCAACGTGATGGACGGCCATTGGCTGCTGTACGACCAGCCGAACTACAAGGGCCGGCCCTACTACCTGAGACCTGGAGAGTACCGTCGATCGTTGGACTGGGGAGGCGCCAGTCCAAGGATCGGCTCTCTCAGGCGAATCACCGACTTTAATTAAAAGTCTTTTCAAACCTTTTTCCTGTCTCTGTTCTCAATAAACATGCTGGGCTGAAACTGTGTGTGTGTCTCTGTATATAGACATGAAAACGTATTTTAGCTTGTGTTCTTGTCTCTTTCCTTTAAGTAGCTTATAGCTAGCTTATATTTGCTTTGTCCACTCCAAAACATGTGCATCAAAGACGCCCAACTTGCCACCTAAGCAACCTTTTAGGTCCCCTCACCACTCTCAACTCAAACAGCCCAAAGAAAACAAAAGCACCAGTTGACAGAACATTGGTTATTGTATAGATTTATTGACAGTACTTCACATAAACAGTTTCTGGACATCACACAGCGATACGTCTGATGGATCCCACCCGAGACGTGGTGCTTCCCCACTCATTAAACCTCCTGTATTCCCCGGGGTTCATCAGGTATTGGCGTCCCTTGTAATTGGGGAGTTCGTAGAAGATCCAGTAACCGTCCCTTACATTGCAGGAGTAGACGTCGTTGCGGTTGAATAGTTCGTTCAGCGAGGGGCAGTCGTCAGTCAGCTCCATCGTCTCTCCTCCTAACTCTGGCTGCTCGTATATCATTATCCTGTGAGAGCTTTGGGACTGCAGGAAAAGACTGTATTACCCTCTAGATCAGTTAAGACTTATTGTGAAGTGAAAGGCATAAGATAAGAAGTACTTTGTTGATCCCAAGTTAGGAAATGTTTGTGTTGCAGCAGCATAAAAAGACATTGTACAATAAAAACAATTATTATAATAATATACCGTAGGGATCAAACGGCAGGATCGCACACAGTCGTTGAACCCCATCCATTGCTGGTAGTCGGGGTACTCGCCCTTCTTTAAGAAGTACTGGTACCCCATATATCCGGGTCTTTCAAAAACCATCCAATCACCGCTGTCCACTCTGATGGAGTTGCAGCGGCTGAAGTGGGAATGCAGGTCCGAGCATTCGCTGCCGCACTCGTAGGAGCGACCCTTGAAATTCCTGTCCTCGTAGAATATAATCTGAAATGTAGATGCCTCAAATTAAGAGAAGTGTGCATAACTATACCACTTGAAAGATTACTCTCAGTTCACCGATTTGGGATGAATAATCCGTGCACACAGCAGAGACTTACCTTGCCCATTGTGTCGGCTCACCTTCGTCACACTGAAGCGGTAGATGTGTGCTCCGTGCTGCCTTTATAACCCACGGATGACCTGTGTCATTGTGATTCAGAACAATGTGCGCGGCCGTCAGCGCTTTATCACAGAACTATTTTTTGTTTTGTGTGTGTGTTTGACTAAGCAAATCCGCTGTTTTGAGCAGTTGCTTTGAAATCGCTCTGGTAGATGGTATATGGAGTGAATTAGATGAAGAAAACACTACAAATTAAATATTTAAACATACATGTATTGATCGGAATGAATTGTTATTACATATAAAAATATACATATAATAACTTTGTACATTATAACACTTTCTATACAATGTAAAGCTGTTCATGCATATGCTCATGGTACTGTATGGAGGCTTTAAACATGTTAACGATCAACTTGACTGAAAACATTTTTTTTGTATAACGTAGATGCAGGATCGAATATTCAACAGCCTGTGAAGTGAGCTCAGCTTCTGCCTTTCCTCTGAACACAGCAGCAGCCTTTTATATGATACAGAGTCACCAGCATTTTCAGTTTGTTTGCATAGTGTGATACGCTCTATAGGACTAAGCTCTGGAATACCGTTTCATTATGTGCATGGATCCGTTTTGTACCAGTAGAGCTGCTCAAACGAAAAGCAAATGCATTTATCATGATTTTGCATTTAGGTGCATCTTATGTAAGTAAAATGGCTTAACATATGCAAAAGAAATGCCAACTGTGACCTTTTAGACCCCTCTTTATAATATTGTGTTTATTATTATATACAGTATGAAAATACGTCTGATACGGTGGCATCATATTCTCTCTAATTGTACGCTTTGCAACTGCCTATCAAGTCTTAAAATCAAGTTAAAACTAGAAATATGTTTTGAAAAAACCTATATGTCCTTTGCAAAAATATCTATTGTATATGTTTGTGCTCCTGTCATACTCTCTAAAGTAGCCATACAATCTCCCTGTTTATATTAAACCTTAAACTTTTACTGCTATATCAGGGTGTCCGCGGGGTCTTAAAAAGAGTATTATAAGTTGATAAATCAATTTAGTGAAAATTAAGGCATTTTCAAAAGTATTACATTGTGTAGCTTGTTTTCAATAAGTATATGAATGGTCCCAAAGAGGTTGTGTTCTACAGTCTGCCTGAATGTAATCATGGCGTAGGTGTGTAGTGTCTGATTCCTGTGTAGTTTATTGATGGCATCCCGTTGGGTTTGACGTCATCTGAACAGGACATCACACACGCTCACTGCTTGATAGCGCGAAGGTCCGTTTTACGCCGGTTGGTTAAACAACATCGTTATGGGGGAAATGCAAGTCTGCGTCCAAATGGTTGGAAGATAAGGAGGGAAGGACAATCAATACTGTATATAGTCAATGTGAGGTAAAGTGTCGCCAAGGTAACCGGTTTAGAACTCCAAGTGGCGATGAGGTCTTAAAATGTATGGGAAGGGTCTTAAAAAGGTCTTAAAAGGTCTTACATTTGACTTCAGGATTCCTGCATATACCCTGTATCTTCATCAATTACTTTTTAACAACCTTGTTTGAATCACTTGCTTTGTATGTGATTGGTTTGTTGTAGTGGGGTTCATTCAATCTTCTATTAAATAAAGGGAAATAGAGAATTTGACCAAATCTATACTGGCTTTAACAGAAATATCAGACATATTTGTTTAGAGTTGTAGCCTTGCAAACACATCATCCTCCCCCACCTAATCAGATCATTGATTTAGATAGATTGCATATAAACCCAATATGAAGTCCTTTATCTATGTCTTTATATGTGTTACAGATTCACATTTGGGTTGCTGTACATTTGCTGAACCAGCTTTCACCCCAAGTTTGCATTTGTATTCTTGTTTAAAGGGGACCTATCATGCAAAATGCACTTTTGTACGTCTTTTATACATGAATATGTGTCCCCGGTGTGTCAGGGAACTCACCAAGTGTCAGAAAACACAACCCTCTCTCTTTTCCCCCATACCCAAATCTCTAAAAACGGGGCTGCAACGGATCTGACACAGTCTGATACAGATTTGAAATATCTCTGACGTCAGAAACGAGGAGCTCCGCCTATACTCTCCACCTATCAGGAGGAGACAGCCACGGCCATTGCCGCTCGAAAGCGATGGAGACGCTGTAGTACATATGCCAGGCCTGTAGGTGGCGCTGTAGTCTGCCACAAAAGCAGCGAAGAAGACTTCTCAGAATCAGCCCTTGCAAAAACGGCTAAAAAAGAGCAAATAGAGCGAAATGAGGCATGGCTAAAATGCATGATGTGTTTGACATGTTTTATATAGGTGTGGCCCTACAATATATTATTCAAATATAGCATGATAGGTCCACTTTAAGTACATTAAAATGCCTGTTTGACTCGGATAGTGACTTATGGAAGTTGTGTGCAGAAAGAAATCCACCATAATTATGCGGCAAATCATTTTATTGTGCCCATCACACAGGTATAGAGGTAAATTCATCGTGGCTGGATTGCACGTACAACTGGAACTACATGCAAACAATGCACAAATCACAGTTTCAGGATAAAAAACAAGGCTTCTTCATCTTTTGGTATCGCCTCTCACATCTTGTTAATGTTAATAAAACAAAGCATCTGCAAAACCTATTAGCTAGAAGTGATTAGACAGATTCTGTGATGCGTCTGATGGAGTTGAACTTCATGTCTTCGCTGCTCATCTCTTTGAGGTTCCTGTACTTTCCCGGCTTCAGATAAGACATCCTGCCCTCGAAGTTTGGCTGCTCGAACATCAGCCAGTATCCCTCCATCACGTTGCAGGACTGCATGTCCGACATCTGGTATTGATCCTGGATGGAGTCGCAGTCGTCGGTCAGCTCCTGCATCTGCCCTTCGAAGTTCGCCCTCTCGTAGATCCTCATCTTGAAGGGTCCCTTGTGCTGTTAAAGTACACAATGTCAAATGAAATATATGCATAGATCTAATAAGATAGGTATGAAAACGCTACATGTCTAGATAGGAAATTGGAACGAGCTTAATTTAGAAATCTAATTGGTTGCCACGCTAAATAAGAAGCTAATAATCAAAGTCAACTTTATTGTCAATCTTCTAGTTTGTGTGTACATAATAATCAGTTTAATTATGTTACAAGTCATCCTTTTGACAACTTTATGAATTAAATTGCAGCATTTTCTCTTAAAATTCTTAGAGGCATTGCTAGATAGCCAGCTAGCGTTTGAGGAAATGTGACAAAAAACAAAAAATCCGATAAAGCTAGCAGTTCCTTCCCTTTTTACTCGTCCTGAAATGTGAATGAAATATAAGAATGAAACTAAAAAGATAATTTAGAAAAAGCTACAGGTCTAGATAGGAAATTGGAACGAGCTTAATTTAGAAATCTAATTGGTTGCCACGCTAAACAGGAAGCTAATAATCAGTTTAATTATGTTACAAGTCATCCTTTTGACAACTGTATGAATTAAATTGCAGCATTTGCTCTAAAAACTCTTAGAGGCATTGCTAGATAGCCAGTTAGCGTTTGAGGAAATGTGACAAAAAACAAAAAATCTCAACCCGATAAAGCTAGCAGTTCCTTCCCTATTTACCCATCGTGGAAATATCACTACTGGAGGTACAGAATTGAATTTGATCCGGATATGTTCATCTGCTTCTGGGTAAGACTACCACCAAACATATTTCTCATGTCTCTTTCCATTACTGATTGCCTCCATCTGTTCTTTGTTAGTAATATTGTGCTTTACCTCAGGGACCATGCGGCAGGACTGAATGCACTCATTGAAGCCGATGGTGTTCTGGTACTCGGGGTACTCTCCCCTGGTGAGGAGGTGCTGCTGGCCCGTGAAGTTGGGCTGATCGTAGACCATGAACGTCCCGCTCTCCACCCTGCAGGAGCTGCATCGGCCCAGATGAGAGGAGATCTCAGAGCAGTCGCTCATGCACTCATAGGAGCGACCCTGGAAGTTCCTCCCCTCGAAAAAGACAATCTAGAGAGAGAGACACACATTGGGTAATTACCTCTGAGAGCTAAAGGTGAGTGCTGTTCAGTTTACACACAGTTGCATAGCAGAAACTACAGTATGTTACAACATAGAATCATTACTAGTCCCACAGAGGGGATATGTACATTGTTACAGCAGAAACGAGCCAAAAGCAGCTTAATGTTAACTAAGTAGCATGCATAAAATAATATTAAAGTTACACAAATACAAACATCCTATAACAGTTCTGAAGATATAGCAGCCAGGTATATACAACATAATATTTAGCAGTGAATAGATCAGGCTGTTCTGCTCCCTTCATTACCTTTCCGCTCATGGTCTCGGTTTTTGATTTCTGTTGTTCTACCCACTGGCGCGCTGGCTTTTATGCATCATGTGACATCAAAAGAATCTGCCCCTCAATTGTACTAAATTCCATGAGTCAGCTCATCGCCATGGAAATCCCTACTGTATTATACATCGAAGCTGTGCACGGATTAAACAGTAGTGGTGCAGTCACAAAGCAAACTCTAGTTATTGCATTACTTTTGTTTTCAGTTTTATTATATGGGAACAGTATACAGTGGATAAACGAGGAAAATATTATATTAAATGCATTGACTAAAGCTGAAATACATCACTTTTGAAACACAATTCTTCCTTAACAAAAGTAGAATTCATGAAACACAGCTTAGTTCAATCCACTGAGGATTTCTGCTGCCATTTGCTGCTATGATTTTTACTTGTGACACATCTTTAAATGTTTTTACACTATTTCTTCCATTGTTCTTTAATTACCACCACTATAATGACAATCTTTCTTAAGTAATTGGTGCCTAAAATAGGAATCCCAGCATGTTGTGGTTCTGCTTATCTTTCAGCCACAATGCCCTCTTGTGCAAAATGTTATTTACAGAACACTACAATACTATCTGACTACATTCATGCTTCTCGGAGGTAGAAAGCATCCAATTTAGGACACTGTGTTGTCAGCTTGTACACATTATAACGCAAAATATAACATGTTCTCATGGGGATACAACCTATTGAATTAAAAGAACCAGTGTGTAGGATTTAGGAGGGTTTATTGACAGGAATGGAATTTCATTTTCATAACAATGTTTTTATTAATCACTTAAAACTAAGAATCATGTTTTTTATTGGCTTAGATTGGGAACTATTAATCTGTCACCATGTTTCTACAGTAGCCCGGAAGGGACAGACCAAACTCCAGCCCTGTAAAGGACCCTTTTAGGTGTTTTATGTTACCTTAAGTTGCTTTGCCGTCTGCAACCTTATAGATTTATTTTATCTACTGAATTAGGAACCGTTGCAATGACGGTAGACGAACATTTCTTGGGAGTTTTGGTAAAAGGGTTATCCACTAAAACACATGTGTCAAACTCACGGCCCGGGGGCCAAATCAGGCCCGTGGTGGATTTAATTTCGGCCCGCAGGATCATTTCTAATTCCTATTCGATCTGGCCCGCCGGTATATTGCTCTCACACCTTCACTCCATCCTGAGGGTCTCCTCAGCTCAGAGCCTGAGCCCAAACATTGATGACCTTGCACCCAAGATGAGATGCCAAGTATCTGAGCTAGCATCACAGAGCAGCACACTGAGTTTAATGGATGTTTCCTTCTGCACTTTCTCTCTCAGGACAACAGGGCATGTTTGGTTTTCTCTTTGAGGGAAATTGTTTTGTTGAAGCTGTTGTTGGCCTGTGGGAAAATGTACTCATAAGAAATTACTCTGGAAAAGCTGCAGATAGAGCCATAAGAAATGAATGCAACTGATTATTTAATGTTTAATGTTGTTTTTATTGGCAATCATTGAAGCTTTGTTAGTTCCAGGTTTAATATGTGCAATAAGTTCATTTCAATAAGTTTTGCAATAAACATTGAACCAGTCCGGCCCTCGACTAGTACCCATTTTTTAATGTTCGCCCACTGTGTATTTGAGTTTGTCACCCTTGCACTAAAACCTTTAAAATGGAGGTGTGTGTGACTTGAATGCTAATGAAGTTAAGGCCGAATGTCTGTCGAATCATGTGTGATTTACTTGGTTTGAAATACACTGAACAACAATATAAATGCAACGCTTTTGTTTTTGCTCCCATTTTTCATGAGATGAACTCAAAGATCTAAAATGTTTTCTATATACACCATTTCTCTCAAATATTGTTCACAAATCTGAAAAGATCTGTGATAGTGAGCACTTCTCCTTTGCCGAGATAATCCATCCCACCTCACAGGTGTGGCATATCAAGATGCTGATTAGACAGCATGATTATTGCACAGGTGTGCCTTAGGCTGGCCACAATAAAAGGCCACTCTGAAACGTGCAGTTTTGCTTTATTGGGGGGGTCTGGGGGGGTCCGAAAACCAGTCAGTATCTGGTGTGAGGGTTAGGGGTAGGGTAATGTTGTGAATCGAGTGGCCCATGGTGGTGGTGGGGTTATGGTATGGGCAGGCGTATGTTATGGACGACGAACACAGGCCACTCGATTCACAACATTACCCTAACCCTACCCCTACCCCTCACACCAGATACTGACTGGTTTTCGGACCCCCCCCCAGACCCCCCCCAATAAAGCAAAACTGCACGTTTCAGAGTGGCCTTTTATTGTGGCCAGCCTAAGGCACACCTGTGCAATAATCCTGCTGTCTAATCAGCATCTTGATATGCCACACCTGTGAGGTGGGATGGATTATCTCGGCAAAGGAGAAGTGCTCACTATCACAGATTTTTTTCAGATTTGTGAACAATATTTGAGAGAAATGGTTATTTTGTGTTTATAGAAAAGGTTTTAGATCTTTGAGTTCATCTCATGAAAAATGGGAGCAAAAACAAAAGTGTTGCGTTTATATTTTTGTTCAGTGTAGCTGCAATTGGTCCAACTATTGGCCAATTATGAACAGGCCAGTTTGAACCGGCACTGCACTACGTAAGGGATAATGTGCAGCGAGGCGGTCATTATGGGGAAAAGAACACCCGACAGGCTCATCAGGGAGCCGACGCGATTACACGACCATATACTAAACAAACTAACGACTCAACTCCCAATATTAATTGAAATGACTTTATTGACTTAAAAATTATCGTATTTCTTCAGCTAAGAAAAAAATGTCTGGACCGTTGCGTAAAAAGGAGGGTTTCTGCCTCGTTACTTCTGCTTTTTGGCCAAACTGTATACAGTTAAATCGAACTGACTTGTTTGTGCAGATGTGAGCGTCCTTAACAACGGTCAATAAGTGCTTGACAGCGGTCTGTACTACTGGATTAACAACGTGTCACGTGTTCTGAATTGACCAATCAGAATCGAGTATTCAACTAAGCCATGTAATAAATAGTAATATTAACATTATTTAAAAATGCTTTTTAGTGTGGAATCAAAGAGGTATGAAATGTTTTCTAACTGCGTTTAAGATAAATCTTTATTCAATAATTACTAGCAAAGTATGTAGACTGACTCCACATAAAGTAAACTACAAAACAGCAGAGAGATACTTCAAAATATGGTTTTTATTCTTCACCCACAGTTTCTTTAATTACACAACAATCAGCACATGTCCATGATGCGCCTGATGGAGCTGATTCTGGACATGTTGCTTGCTGCAGAGTCTCTGAGGTTCCTGTACTCTCCGGGCCTCACGTACAGCATCTTGCCTCTGAAGTTGGGCTGCTCGAACATCAGCCAGTGGCCGTCCATCACTTGGCAGGACTGGCAGTCAGACATTAGGAAACGATCCTGCAGAGACTCGATGTCGTCAATCAGCTCGTGCATCTGGCCTCCGTAGTTCTCCCTTTCGTAGATCCTCATCCTGAAGGGGCCCCTGTGCTGTTGGAGAAAAACAAGGAGAGCATATCAATACAATGCTTTTCTAAACGACCTTTCTTGCACTGGAGGCGGAGTTTGCCAGCTTTAAATTAGCCAAACATGTCTTTGGACCGTTCATTTGTGTCTTCGAACTTCTTACCGTGGGGATCATGCGACAGGAGCGGATGTTATCCATCATAGCCATGCCCTGCATTCCCATCATGCTTCCCATGCGCTGAAAGTCGGAGTACTCCCCTCTCTTCAAGAACACCTGATTGCCCATGTAGTTGTTTCGGTCGTACACCACGAAGCAGCCGTTGTCCACCCTGCAGGAGTTGCAGCGGTTCAGGTGCATGTGGATGTCGGTGCAGTCGCTGCTGCACTCATGGGAACGACCCTGGAAGTTCCTTTCTTCATAGAAAATAATCTGCAAACAAAAAACATGCATGAAAAGTTAGATTAGTGAGTTTAATAGACTTTTACTGCACCAATGATACAAACATGTGATATTATTTACTCTGCCCATGGTTACGCTTTTAGTTTTAGCAAATGATGACAACCCAGTGCCACTTTTATATACAGTATCAGCTGCAGACCACTTCAAACACCTTTGTGCGAAACATCATGACTCATCACTAAGTTCACGTGGCCTTGCTTTTATTTTGAACAGCCCACCTGAATAGTTATTGTATGTTAAATGTAGTTTCGAGAGGTCAATTCAGGTCATAACAGAAGCAAAACAATCCTCAAATTATGTTTTTAAATGTAGTTGTATTTAATAGTTGTTCACCTCTTAAGGAACGCACATGAATAAATAGTTGAAGTTTCTAGAAGCACATATAAACCCAGTATTCACAATAACTATTGCAGAATCTGACATACAGTGAAATCTGCCACCCTATGGTGCTGCGCAGAGCCACAATATAGAGTGATGACTCAAAGGTTTCAGCACAAGCCATGTGGAAATGCTACGGACGTGCGATGTATAAAAAGGGAAACGGGTCGATGTTGAAGCAGCACATCTGAAATTAGCACACAATAATCATGGACATGGGCAGGGTAAGTGAAGCTTTCCAAACATCACAGAAACATGGAAGAGGTGTCATCTGGAGACTCAGGTCCACATTGTTGTTTGCAGATCACATTCTATGAGGAGAAGAACTTCCAGGGTCGCTCCTATGAGACCAGCAACGACTGCCCTGAGCTCACCTCTTACCTGAGCAGGTGCAACTCCTGCAGGGTGGAGAGCGGCCTCTTCATGGTCTACGAGAAGCCCAACTTCATGGGCCAACAGATGCTGGTGAGGAGGGGCGAGTACCCTGACAACCAGCGCCTGATGGGCATGACTATGAGCGACTGCATCAGGTCCAGTCGCATGATCCCCACGGTAGGTGTATCGCTCTCAGCTGCAATAAGTAAGCCACAAATTACAATTACTTTGTGGTTGCAACAAAAACAACTTTGTAAATTAGCTGAGCTGATATTGGACTATCATCAGCATTTCTATTGGTCGATAGCACAGGTTAAAGTTAAGCAAAATGCTTGCAGGAAATCTGTCATAAAATATTCTAAACTCAGGTTGCCTTTGCTGGGGAAGCCTGTACATTTGATGGGAACATGGCTGCCATTAATGGTATTTGCAAACCCATTTTGTGAGTCTTTAAAATAACAAAATGAATATTGTAACGTCTCTTAAGATTCCCAGTACTTAGGCCCAGAACCAGTGCTGTTACAATAGTGTTGTATCAACCATCACAGTGGTTTTTTCACGATAACAGGTTGTTTTCTTGAGATAATCAGGGCATTAACACGTGGATCTGATGCTTTAATGCCCTGATTATCTTGACGTATCTTCACCTACAGCACAAGGGACCCTTCAGGATGAAGATCTACGAGAAGGAGAACTTCGGAGGCCAGATGCACGAGCTGATGGACGACTGTGACAACATGCAGGATCGTTTCCGCATGAACGAGTGCCAGTCCTGCAACGTGATGGAGGGCCACTGGCTGATGTTCGAGCAGCCCAACTACAGAGGCAAGATGATGTACGTGAGGCCAGGAGAGTACAGGAACCTCAGAGAGATGGGGATGAGCAACATGACGAGGTTCAGCTCCATGAGGCGCATCATGGACTCCTGTTAACTCTGAATGTACGGGGAAATAAAGAAAGCTGAAATCTAATGGTTCTGATTGTAGACTTTGTGCAAGCATGTTCTGAAAACACAAGCATTCACACATAACTCTAGACACATGGTAATTAGTTTTCTTATTTTGATCACTTATGGAGTTAAAACAGGGATTTGTTTGGACTGAACAAAGATTTTATTATGTTTTAAAAGATATCCTCCCATTATGCAAACCAGTTTTGTCAGACACTCCCCGTTTGGTTATTGTCCACACATTTAAACTCCACGGCCAAAGTTGGTCACACACACTTCCTGTTATAAGTTCAAGCTCCAAACTAAAACTAATAAATTCACTTTACTTGTAAAATTGGTGGAGTTATCCTATCCATATCTCTAAGATGTATCCGTCAGTTTCTCCATGAAGCTGCTATTTGTCTGCATGTTTCTCTTGTTGAAGAGGGTACAGGAAAATACACTGAAGCCAATAACACACATTTTACAAAATGAACAGCATGCATGTGGTTTACCGACAGTATTCCTGCAACTTTACCTAGATTGGTGCCGGATTAAAGAACAGGAAGGGTCCACACTCCAAATGGTTCATCCTCTGAGGAGCGTGAATGTACAATCTGCCTATTAGATCTTATATTTATTGTGCACAAATGGGATTATTAAACATTGTAGAATAGTCCTGACTGGATCTAGAGGCTGGTTGGATTCATCCTCTGGGAATTAATAATAATTTTAAATTGAAAGACAATAGTATTGTTATTTTTCCGTATTCAGATCTAAATACTCAACAGTAGTTTGGATTAATCTGATGTTTTGCTTTTTCTGAGGTCGCTTAACATCAATATCATAACTATTATCAAACTAAAACAATGAGCCACTATTTCCAAGGTCAAGAGTGCACCGTGTTTAATATAAAGACGCTTTTCTTTGTCTAAAAGGACAGTTCTGGACTCACTGACTCAGCTCGTTTCATATCAAACCAGATGTCTGGCAGTGCCGTTGTTTTGTCAGCTCGCTGAATGCTTTCCACTTTGCATTGTTCAGAGCAACAGGATTCCCAGCTTCAGAACAATGTGATAAACCTGGATAAATATCTGAATCACTGACTGATTTATCCCGGTGACACAAAGCAAACCATGTGCTAATTGTTCTGTGTAATGAGAGTATTGGAGACAACACAAAACTAATAACGAAGTGACATTTTATATATTTAATACCACATATTTAATGAAGCATCAAACTGTTTATGCCATATTCTTCTAAATGTGTATACTCATTGATCTGATATATAAATGTATTTAAACCTCATACTACTCTTTGCACTTTGTGGATGCTTCATTTTGTTGTACTCATTTGGCAAAGCTATGTCTCTTAAAACTTTGCTCGAGTAAAAGCCATTTCACCGCCTTGTGATGTTGTTTGTTCAGATCCGTTTCTACCAGGACGAATACTTCCAGGGTCGATTCTCTAAATCTGTTAATGACTCCAGCAACATGCGCACGTCCCTCAGCCGCAGCGGTAAGTGAGTATACGTTAAAAACTAAATTAGATATGTCTATCATTTCATCAATGTGCCTTTTAGTTTTGTTTGTATTCGGTGTTGCCGATGAGATAACGTATATGCAATATAAATCATGTCATGAGACAACACAATGTACCGAGTGCATCAAATAATACAGTTTGAGATAAAACACATTGACATCATTCATTCGCAATTTCTGCATCACCCACAGGAGAAATCAAACAGCAGCTATGGATTTTAAAACAATTGCAGCCTCAGCTAATGTGGCAACGTTAATGGAGAGCTCATTTGCATGACAATCGTTTTCCTGGCAGTGCATTTCATCCGCCTGTATAATAAAGTGGAGCATCGGGGATGCAGGGAGAACGAGGCGCTTTGATTTGATCGTGTGAGGAGGAACGGAAGAACCATGGAGCGCACAGGGAAGGTGAGAGTAACGATAATACGATGCACCACATGCTAAATGCTGTATGTCATTTTGAGCTTTTATGCATGCACTTCACTTTCTTTAAATATCTTCTTAAGACTTTTATTTATGGCTGTCTCTGAATTGATGATGATTGATATGTTAAGTTCAAAAAACGTTCAAAAATAAATACATTCTCAAATATTCTCTGTCATGTTCAACAGGGGCAAGAAGAAGCTTTAAAAAATGTTTCTGTTCCCCCTCTAGCGTACATTTTTCGTCATCATGTTCGTCACAAAACAACCAAAAAAGAAATAACTTTTACAATGACAGTATGAGTTCACAGGTCCTGCTCATAATCATTAATGATTTGGTTTCTAGATCATCTTCTACGAGGAGAAGAACTTTAAGGGCCATCACTATGAGTGCAGCGGCGACTGTCCGGAGCTCAACTCTCACATCCAGCACTGCAACTCCCTCCGGGTGGAGGGGGGGGCCTGGGTCCTCTACGAGAGACCCCAATACCTGGGCTACCAGTACGTGCTCATGAGGGGCGAGTACCCCAACTACCAGAGCTGGAACGGCTTCAACGACACCATCCGCTCCTGCAGACTCATCAGACATGTGAGGAAATAGATTTAGCTGAGCTTATAGTATGTGTTTTAATGTTTTATTTAAATGTGTAGGGGTTTATTTAGCTTGTGAACATTATTTCAGACCAACTAAGAAGCTGGTTATTACATTAGTTTAGTTTTTCTGTGTCTTTATTCACACATTTCTGATATTTTGGCTGAAGAAACTCACATTGTTTTCTTCAGCCATAAACACTAAAACAAAACCTCCAAGCTTAGCATAAAGACATAAAGACTGAAGCTTATTTTTATTTTTTAAACTTTGTGTATTGGGTTTTTTCAACAGCATACAGTTATTCTATCAGAGCATGTATCAAAAGTAGGTAAACAAATCTTCACTTCATAGAAAAATAGGTAGAGTAACAATGTAAATACTGCTTAACACCAGGGCAAACACATTCCCACAGACAGAAGACAAACAGACACACAAAAACAGACACACAAAAACACCTGTCCAGTGTTGGGACCCCTCAACAAGAGAACATAGTTTTAGCTGAGCTTATAGTATGTGTTTTAATGTTTTTATTGACATTTGTAGGGTTTATTTAGCTTGTGAACATTGTTTTCTGACTGTAATTATGTACAACAGTTGGTAGTACCATTGCATTCACATTAAATACATATTTGGTGTTTTATAATATATTTTATCCCATAGAAACACTCAAACAAAACCTCCAAGCTTAGCATAAAGACTTAAGACAGGGGTAAAAGCTAGCCAGTCCAAAAGTTAAATCTGTCCACCAACTCATCTTTAAGCTAACTTGCTTTATATTTTGTTTTTGTAAATTCAACATGTACATTTTCTACTTTTTTGTTTATTTCTAGTCTTTTTAATTTGTATTGTACAATGCCATGTCTTTTATGCTGCTGCAACACAAACGTTCTCCAAATTGGGATCAATAAAGTACTATCTTATCTCTCTCTTCTCTTATTTAAAGCTCACTAACAAAACATTATCATTTCAGCCTTCCAGCATGCACAGGATCCGCATCTACGAGCGTCCGGACTTCAGCGGCCAGATGATCGAGTTCAGCGACGACATGCCCAACCTGATGGACCGCTGGCGCTACCGGGACCTCCACTCGGCGCACGTGCAGGACGGCGTCTGGGTTTTCTACGAGCACTCGAACTACAGGGGGCGCCAGTACCTGCTGGAGAAGGGCGAGTACAGACGTCCCGCAGAGTGGGGGGCGCTTCATCCCGCCGTGGGGTCCATCAGACGGGTGGTCGACTCGTCTTAATATCACTTCCTGTTTCCCCACCTTCCTCCAGTCATTGAGTTAACTTAATAAAAGCAAACTGCAGCAGCAGAATGGATGGGAGTGGTTTGAGTTATTGGGATTGTAAATGATAATGGAACAAATAGACAACATACAGAAGGCAAGGCAGGTGTATTTATATAGTACATTTCAACACAAGGCAATTCAAAGTGCTTTACAAACAGACATATTATGAAATTACATTTAAAAGCAAAGATACATGAATAAAAGTTACAGTGCAGTGTGAGATACACACATCTGAAATGTTTAGGTCTGACTCTCAATCATTGCTAACTTTAGCAGAAATAGTTTTCTATCACCTCACTTTCTTTCTACTTTCTTGTTTAACTTGTCCTTTAGTTATTTTAGAAAAGACGTGTTTTAATATACATTTTTTACACCTGGATGTAACAGTATGACCTCATCGAGTCCATCCTCCTGTGAAGTCAATATTCTACTTATTGGAAGCCAAACTTTAGCCGAATGGAGTGGTTTTATTTATTGGGATGGTGAATGATAATGGGACGAATACACAGAAAATGTTATTTTAGTGGGTTTAATTCTTATACACAGCTGTTGTGAATATCAACAGCTGCAGGATCACACGTGCATTTCTTATGATCACATTACGATGTAAAGACAAAGGCATTATTCTACTTATTTGAAGTCAGTTTACCGTCAGAGTTTTTACAGTTTTGAAGCTGAAGGTCAAATACATAATGTTGCTTTAACAAACGAGAAAAATATAAATTGTGCATCCCTAAAATGTTTATAGGCAGAAACTTGGGAAGGACATGCATAAAATGTACTCTATATCTCACTGAAATTAGACTTGTTTTGCACGACTTCATGTCATTTCTTTGCTGGTTTTTCTAGTAGCTGATGAGCTGCAAAATCCCTGATGATTCACGAGGATTCGCCAGCAGGGAGCGATGGTATGTCAGCAGCTATTGTTCTTTAGATGGAGCACAGACACAACAGAGTCAGGGCGTTGGACAGCAGCCACTTTCACTGGCTTTGTCTGTTTGAGCTTCATTAGGTACGTTACAGTACGCCTGTGCAATAGATAGTTTGACCTCTGACCTGCTGTAAAAGTGCTGCACAGCTTCTGGAAAAACACCATTTAACATCTGAATAACAACAACAACTTAATGCATTAACATTCTGATTTGATTTTGTACTTGTTAACAATCATCTGCAGACCTTATGGCCTCGTGGTGGAAGATGCATTGAGATCATTTATGTAAGGCGAGACACTACAGGCAACATTAATGTTTTGAGACTTATGCTTTATGACATGTCTTATTTCAGACTTGTGATAAGAAAACAATCCAAAATACACATTTAGGAATTTATTTGACTATGTAGTCCATCTACATGTGTGGATTCCTCCTAAATTAAACAAAGCTAGCATCAGATAATGTCTTGTTTGCATATTTAAACATGTAAAACGGTACATTGATGAACTGTAGACACTTCATAGTGATATCTATTAGTTACTCTGTTCACATGTAAGTAGGATTACTGAAAATACAAAAATAGTTATGCATTAAAAATAGCCAACAATGCTTAAACTATCAAAAGTTAAATCAGGAAAATGTGAGTTTTAAACTGAAATTGTATTGGGTAATTGTTACTGCTAGATTAACTTGTATATATAATTGAGTACAGTCATTTAACATCAGTGCTGGACGGAGACTTCAGAGCCATCTAGTGGTGCTAAAGCTCCATTGACCTCGACAAATAAGCAGATGTTTAGAGCTAACATACACTTCCTTTTTAAGAGTCTTTTTTTGAGGGGTATGCCGATTATGATACTTATTATATTTATGAATGAAAGCTGTAATAAGATAAATCTAATTTGAATGAGGTTTTCCCTTTCCTTTCTCACATTTCACACCATGTACTGGAGTGCTGTACTTTTGCATTATGGCCACGTGCAGCGTTTATAAAATGCAATAAATAATTGTGGCCAAAAAGGAAGTCAGAAAGTACAATCATAAAAAGATACAGACAGCATTCAGGTAATCTTCATTAAAGGATTAAAGAAACGGCACCATCTCAACCTGCAGACACATTTGACAAGACGGTGTAAGAGTGCAGTTTGTCATCATTTCCTGACTCAGGATATGTTCGATCATATCTGGAGATCTGTCAGAGCGGATGAATACAAATCTGATGTGGTGTGTACAGAGTAGTGGACGTGTAAACAGGAGACGCTGCAAATCAGTAACAGAGCTGCTGAGCTCAGCTGACAATTGGACTGGAACTTTTGATCACACACACACACACACACACACACACACACACACACACACACACACACACACACACACACACACAGATCCATTCTGGCATCCACTGTCACTGATCAAGCAGTTTCTGAGAACGCAAACAGCCACTGCAAAAAATAAAGTCCAGCCGTAGAGGTCAATTGGTCTAAAGTCGAAAAACTGGACTTCTTTATTTGGATAAAATAAGTACTAATGGGGTTTTGGTTGCAAATGTAATTACATCAACAATGAGATCATGCAAAATAGTTTAAAGAATACTGCAGAAATATGTGTTTTGCTATGTTGATTGTGTTTTAACGAACTAATTCAAAGTGTTCTCGTGCAGTCCTGGACAATCATAAGCTGCAGACAGACGTACTATAGAGAATTAAGATGATTGACAGTTTTGTGACTCAACCACAATGCAGCAAAATATAACCTTCTGTCTTCTTTGTCCATTTTTGGATATAAATTCCTATCAATGTCTTTTAGACTGTTAAACACTGTATGCTGACTGCTGGCCTATGAATACACTAAATACCAGACTTAATACATAGTCAGGTGGCGTGCTTCGTGATCGCTCTGCAGCGAATGGTAATGAAGTTGAAAGAGATCAAAGCGGTATTAAGAGTGGAGGGACTGCTTCGCCACCCACTGAGATGAATGCACTTTGGAGCAGTCATGTGTGACGTGGATTAAACCAAACATGCTGCAGCAAAACGAGAGGAAGTACAGTATTTATTCACCTCGACAAAAGAGTTCTGATTATTCATGTTATGCACAGTTTTAAAAGGACAAAGGCACCTTCAGATTCTCTCAAATCCAATCTTTGTGTTAATAAATCATATTATCTAGAGAAGTAATAGTGTTTGTACTCGTTTTGTAAAGGAATCTGGACTCTAAATGATTATGAAATTCATATTAAATTGCAATTGTGTCATATTTGCCAATACATTTTGGGTAAACTAAGTACAATAGGATTTGCATGTTGCTTTAAGTTATGAATGACCAAATTAATATCATAAAACTGTATAATTTAATATATTAGGTAAGATCTTTTATGGTTTATTCTCAAACTAATTAAGGTAGTCTAAAAGAATACCTAAATAATCTTAGTAATGTTATCTAAAATAGTTAATCTTGTTTTATTATGTTATGTATTTATTAGCCTGCTTTTTAAGGAATGGCAGCTCTGGCCCTTTACGAGATCTGTGGAGACTTGAATGAACAGCAGCCATTCATAAATAAAAAAACAGGGACGGACGTCAGAGCAATCTTGAAGATGATTGGCTCTCCCTTTGAGTGACGTGGTGTTCTAGCCAATGGGAGCGCAGCCCTGGGCTCGGGGTTTAGTTCCAGCGATCAGAGCGCTTCATTGAGAAAAATCCACAGCCGAGTTTTTATCCGAAGAGCTGCAGGGGATGTAGGGAAGAGGAAATCTTGGTTTTTAAAACACTGACGACAAACTTCACATATCAAGTGAGTGCTGCGTTATTACTACTACATCACGTTGTACGAACTAGATGCTTGGAGTTGTTTTCGCGTTGTTTTCTTGCATCATTGCAGGCTGTGTGGAGCAGATACGGGCTAAGAGGCGAACGCCATTTTCTGGGAAAATCAAAGGCAACATTGCGTCCATTTTTCACGCATCTGTCAGCACTGCAGGGCGGCATTTCCGTCTGCCGCAGCTGTCTTTATGGTCTGTTAGCATCGTGAATATTTCTCTGTGCTCTGTTGTACATTTTGTCAATGGTTAGCCCCCCCTTCACCACCCCCCCTTCTTCTGCAAAGGCTCAAGTTTCACTTCATTGAGAAAAACAAGGAGGTCTCACGATGCCTTGCGTCACTCCAAAAACTCCATTCACAAATCTTTACAGTTAGTTTTATTTAAAGTCAGGTTGAAAACACCACGAACCAAAGTCATGTTGTTTATCTTGGTGTTGATATCATTAAAGCAAATGGAGTACACTTCAAATTGAACTTTTGACTTGTTTCTAACGCCCTGTTATAAGAACAATAGCAGTTGTGGCGAGGTGTTGTTTACCTACGGAAGCCCTCTGCATTCATCAAAGGACGTGTGACTTCCGTATGAGGTAATCACCATCTAAGAGTTAAAAGATAAGGGTTTGAGAACTTCTATCTCCTATTATAATACTGACTTTAACTCGTATTTGGTTAGAGAAAGATTAGTAACTGCAATACTTTTAGAGTATCCTGACCTTGTGAAATCAATCTCAACTCAAAGCTCTACTTTTTATCAGCTTTAAACCAGATGTCACTGTCCTCATTATGTGTTGACACTTGAATCAGCTCCATTAACTTGTCAAAACTGTACACATATGGTTAAGAGCTCAGAAAAAGATGGCAAGTGTCAGGGAATGATTACACTTTTCATCACAAATGGTCATATTTATAATTTAAAGCCTGTATATAATCGAAAATTAAATCATGTGTCATGTAATCTTCAGGACATTTCCCCAAACGTTGGACTATTCCTTAAAATATCTTCCTATAATTTGATCTGTTGCCTCCAACTAATCCCCTGCAGACTGGAAAGCTTCACCTGAGTATATTATGTAATTTTAACCACTAAAAAAACAACTATTCCTCATGCTTTTGTTGATGCTTGTATCATTCCTTTTTGTGACGTAAAGAAAGCATTTACTCAAACCACATATTCAACGATACCACTTTGTAAAAACATGGTAAGGTCACTACAGTGCAGACAGAAGGAGAAAACAAGGCGTCACATTTTTATAGCACCATACAGCTGCTTTCTGTTTATCCACTTAAAACCAGCATCACTACTCAAACATGTTTGAAGTGTATTTCCTCCTGCGGCGCGTCTACATGATTTAACATACAGGACGTTGCATAACGCTTTAATGACGACAAGGCTTTTATAGCCACTGTAAATCCTGCTGCTGTGGGGCCAGGATGTAAAGAGGTGCATGGCGAGAAAGAGGAACATTGGTAGAGATGATTACATTACATGTCACTTGTTAGACGCTTTTATCCAAAGCGACTTACATACTCAATACTGTGGACAATCCCCACAGGAGCAATGCTGACTGCAGTGGGGTTTGAACCTGTTCCCCCCTGATCCGAATACCAACGCACAAACCACTGCGCCACACGCCTCCCACGATCAAGCTAATTATGCCTTAAAATGTCTCTAATATTTCCTCCCATTCCCTTATTGTTCCAGGGTGAAGACTCCTGCAACATGGACGGCTTTTACGACCAGCAGGTCCCCTTTGTGGTCCCTGAGAGTGTGAGTTATCGTCCTCTGCTTCACATTTCTGACGTTTAACTTTGATTTATGTTCACTTAACAGTTTTTCTTTACTTTTTTTAAATGTAGAAATGTCCCGTAGAGGGAGCAGAGAGATGTCTCAGCGACAGGAAGAGGAAGTTCATGGACACAGAGCTGGCTCAGGACACAGAAGGTGGGCTCATCATGTCCACATGTCAAAGTGTTTACTGTGTCAGTGGTTACACAACACAGTACGAGAGAGAGAGAGAGATTCGGAAACATGTTGTCTCTTTGGAAACGTCAATATTCATTTTGGCTTATAACTGACTTTCAGAGCTCTTTCAAGACCTGATCCAGCTCCAGGAAATATGGATCGCAGAAGGTGAGAGTGCAAGAATCACGACACAAAACACACAACTTCTCCATCAAAGACTGTATGAACGTCTCTGATTGAAGCAGTGTTGTGTCACCCCTTCGATAGGTATTTTAAAGGCAAGACACTACAGGCGTTTATTTGATTAACGTTGTCTATTTACCTCTGCAGAATTCTCATGTATTCTCCAAAAGTTAGCATTAGATTAAGTCTCATTTGTGCATAGTTATACATTACTTTTAAGAAGTTCAAAGTTAGTTGTATTTAGTTATGTTATATTAAGAATAGTTTAACAATACTTCAATCAGGAGAGACGGTTTTCATGTAAGAATACATATTTATTGCAGAGATACACAAATGAATGTAATGGTGATTTTGGCGATTAGGCCCCGTCGTGCAGGAAGTATCATTCGGGAGGGGAGAACCGATCCGATGAAACCCCCCGGGGTCTAGACCCTGGTGGTGAATGGATAGTTGGGTCGGTCTGAAGGGGAGGGGCTTAGCTTGACTCTGGTGGTGGTGAATGGATAGTTGGGTCGGTCTGAAGGGGAGGGGCTTAGCTTGACCCTGGTGGTGGTGAATGGATAGTTGAGTTCAGTCTGAAGGGGAGGGGCTTAGCTTGACCCTGGTGGTGGTGAATGGATAGTTGAGTTCAGTCTGAAGGGGAGGGGCTTAGCTTGACCCTGGTGGTGGTGAATGGATAGTTGGGTTCAGTCTGAAGGGGAGGGGCTTAGCTTGACCCTGGTGGTGGTGAATGGATAGTTGGGTTCAGTCTGAAGGGGAGGGGCTTAGCTTGACCCTGGTGGTGGTGAATGGATAGTTGGGTTCAGTCTGAAGGGGAGGGGCTTAGCTTGACCCTGGTGGTGGTGAATGGATAGTTGAGTTCAGTCTGAAGGGGAGGGGCTTAGCTTGACCCTGGATTCAGAGGGTTAGGAGGTGAAAAGGGGGGGAGGAGGGTTGCGTAGAGTCACCTGAAATGACTGCTTTCAGAGGGGGGAGAGCAGACTTAAAAGGTTTGGCAGAGCACTATGATAGGCTCTTGGGAATAGAGCGAAGTGATTGGTTAAGCTGGAGAGTGACGCCCCCGATCACTTATTGAGAGGAGAGAGAGTAGTTACATCGGAATAGTAAATGAAGAGTAGAGACGGTCTTCCTGGTTGAACTTACGCTGAGCTTCATTTGTCTCTTTTACTGGTTTCTCATATTCACCTGACGAGAAGAGTCCTTTAACACCGTGTCTTCCCTCTCTCACAGCTCAGGTTCCCGATGACGAGCAGTTTGTCCCAGACTTCCAGTCCAATAAGTGTGAGTATCTCCTCCTCTCGTACACAAATGGTGAAATGTATAGAAATCTTATCCAAAGAAAGTACTTAAATATGACTTTAAATAGCAGAATCACATTAAAGTATTTTGCCATTCTGCTAAAAGGTGTATTTTTATGTTGGATTTATTGGTTGTGTCAGATCATACAATCAATCCTATTTTAACCAGATCAGATGTTTTAGCACTTAATCTGTATACAGTAACGACAACGGTCAGATAAACATCGCCCTTATATCGTAGTACAAGTAAGTTGCATTGCATTTAAATACTGAATACAAATACCTCATTAGTGCACTGATTTGTCTGCAGCAGGAGTTAATTATTCCTACTATCAGTGTTCCCTGGCAGCTCAGTGTTTGACCCTCAGACAGAACACCAGGGGATCTGTGCCAGGTACATGATGGCGCTCACATGGTGCAGGAAATGGCTCCACTTGTACCTTTTTAAAAATAAAGATGTCACAGATAAGAGCTCAGTATGCGGGAATTAAACATTTAGTGCAGCTGCCAAACACGTAGCGCTGTATTTATTACTGCGACTCCCGGACGGACAATAAATCTGACAGATTGATTATACGTGGAAACATGGTGAAGAGTCCTGGAAAACTGAGATAGGGTGAAGTGTGCGCACAATCTGGTATCATTACATCATCACCAATTTCCACATATTTATTGTTGTCATTTATTGTAGTACAATGTGCACGTTTAACTGCATGTTTTTATTGCACATTTTCAGTGTAATATCCTATGTTAATATGCGCTCTTTAAATTATATTTTTATAGCACATTATTTTAGCACAAAATCCTATGTTTATATACATATTTTACACTTTTTGATTGTGTTTAATTCTAAAGTAAGCAGCTGCCATTAAACCCAATTTCTCCCAGGGCTGAATAAACAATTCTGATTCATATAGGAGGCTTTCTTTCCTCTGGTTTCACACTAACATTTGAGCCGCAGTGCTTGAAACCAAAGGGTCTCTGAATATTTATTTTATGTGTTTCAGTGATGTTTCATGGACCTCCTCTGAGCAAGGTGAAGCGAGAGCACAGCCCGTCTCCCTGCAGGACGCCTCACGCTGACATGTGCCTTTACAGCTACAGGTACAACACCAATCCTCTCCAAGTCAACGTGTGTGTGTGGTCTAGCATTACTATACTTGTGGGGACCTAAATCTGTTTACACAGTCACGTGTGGGGACTCGCCTCCCTTATGGGGACAAATTGGAATCATTAATTTTAGGGTGAAGACTTAGTTAGGTTTAGGGTTAGGCATGTGTTGGTTAAGGTTAGGATAAGTCTCCAGGAAATGCATGTAAGTCAATGTAATGTCCTCTGAAGTGATGTGTGTGTGTGTGTGTGTGTGTGTGTGTGTGTGTGTGGTGTGTGTGTGTGTGTGTGTGTGTGTGTGTGTGTGTGTGTGTGTGTGTGTGTGTGTTGTGTGTGTGTGTTGTGTGTGTGTGTGTGTGTGTGTGTGTGTGGGTGTGTGTGTGTGTGTGTGTGTGTGTGTGTGGTGTGTGTGTGTGTGGGTGTGTGTGTGTGTGTGTGTGTGTGTGTGTGTGTGTGATGTGTGTGTGTAGTGTGTGTGTGTGTGTGTGTGTGTGTGTGTGTGTGTGTGTGTGTGTGTGTGTGTGTGTGTGTGTGTGTGTGTGTGTGTGTGTGTGTGTGTGTGTGTGTGTGTGTGTGTGTGGTGTGTGAGTGTGTGTGTGTGTGGTGTGTGTGTGTGTGTGTGTGTGTGTTGTGTGTGTGTGTGTGTGTGTGTGTGTGGTGTGTATATATAAATAAACTAAACGTGTGCTTACAGCTACTTCCTGTTTCCTCAGTGCCTGTGACAATAAGCCAGCGGGGCTCAAACCCCTTCCTCCAGCCCCCTCTCATCCTTCAGGACCTCCACCTGTTCAGAGGCAGCTCCACCCTCCGGGCCCCCAGATCTCCAGCAGAGGCCCTCAGGCCAATCAGAGCCAGCAGTTTGCTCTGCCCCGCCCCCCCACCAGCTGCCCCCCTGCGTCTTTCAGCACAGAACAGAGGTGGGTTGGAAGTTCAACTTTAATATGATTTAAAATGTATTTATTTGGTACATTTGAAGCTTTTATTGAGGTCTGATGTCACAAAGTCACTCAGAAACTAAAATCCTTAATTTGAAAAATGTGATTTATAGGATTTTATTGAGGTAATCAATTTTTTATTAAATCAGCTTTCTTTAAAGAACTTAGTTTAAACAATGTGGTGAATTTTATAAATGTTTACACGTATCTTTTCCAGTACATTTTGACTTTTCAACGCTCTTGTTGGGAGAAAATAGAGAACAATTTTGATGAAATAAGTAAATAGGGGCCACAATTAGCAAAAAAACATCTCTTTACAAACTCACACAACTAGCGTCATTCATTTCTTTACTCATATGCTCACATCTTTCAAAAACAGGCACTGCAATATGCTAAAATCGTACTATTAATACCTTTGATTTGACACATTTTATTGGTATTTTTTTAATATAGTTTTGCTATTGTTTAACAACAGATTTAAGGACTGCAGATTGAAATGAGCTATTAGCTCAAATCTGGCATAATCCATCTCTTCTCTTTTCTGAGATGAATGTATTTGTATAATTGGTCCTTTTTGAAATACATACAAATTTGTTGACTTCTGAAACAGTGAGTTGAGACCCTCCTCTCCTCGTCTCCTCCTCTCAGCAGGTTTCAGAGGCAGCTGTCGGAGCCCTGCTTGTCCTTCCTCCCTCCTGAGACTCCTCTGAACTCTCCGTACCAACCCTCGAGCCGTGATGGCCGCCCTCTGTACCAGCGCCACCTCTCAGAGCCTCTGGTCCCTCAGAGAGTGTTCAAACAGGAACTGGTGGACCCTCGGTACCCAGAGCCGGGACCCCAGAACTCTTTCAATCACGTGACCATCAAGCAGGAACCGCGAGACTACGCCTTCGACTCAGGTGAGTTCCTCTGCTACGTGCACTGAAACAAACCCTTTCTCAAACCCCCTATTTTATTATTGATGTAATTGAGTGATTTCGTTGTGCATTTAAATGGCATATTCTTTTAGAAGTGAGACCTAAAAGACTTCCTGCTTTGTTTCTTCCAGAGGTTCAGCCCTGCCAGTCGTCGTTTGGGAAGTCTCCAGTCTTGTACCAGAATAACAATGTTGGTGAGTTGTGTGTTTGTTTTCACTTTTAAATCTGTTTGTTGTTGTTCTCCTTGGAATAAATGTAACCTTTCATAATGAAAATGTATGTTTCACCCACAGGGTTCGGTGCTGACAGAGAGCAACACCTGTACTATGACGACACCTGTGTTGTGCCGGACAGACTGGAAGGTAACACAGATTTAAAGAAGCATATTTCTAACTGCTGCTTCTGATAATCCACGAGGAATAGACCTTGTTGTTCCATACTAAGAAATGGTGTCAGTTGTACTCATTGTGTGTCTTATGGCGCATTTCCACTATAGCGCGGTTTAAGCGTGCCGTGCCCGTTTTTGGTTGCGTTTCCACTCGGCGTAGTTCCGGCTAGCGGGTACTTTTTCACAGTTGTCTGGCTCTCCAAAATCGAGGTTCTTTCCGGGCCAACAACCGGGCTGAGTATGCTAAACTAGTGAGAGAATCGCTTGCAAGGGGGCTACAACTACAACACAATGAACATATTTTACCGTGATTTAATTGTAATACACGTTTCAAAATGATGCCGAAGTAACAACATACTGATACCGGTTAGTAAAAACCATGAATTAATGCTTTGACAAGTCTGCAGACAGACGGCAGGCGAAACACCTTTTTAAAATGCGTGTTTTCTGAATGGAGATCGGCTAAGCTAACGCAGTATATGCTCCGACCGTCCACATTCACAACAACGGCCTACAGACATAAATAAACCAGCGACTGTATTCACCATGACATAGGCAGTCTGTGGTTTGTACTTGTTTCACTTTGGTCCAGTTTCTGAACAGATATGAGGAGCTGTGAGCTCTGAGTGCTAACAGCTAACGGCTGATGTTGGTTTTGTGTTTCGCATTGAAGATGATGTCACGGCTCCGCCTACACTGCGTTACTATAGTTATTGCCCCAGTTCCTAAACTGTAATGGAAAATACTGAAAGGACCTTAAGTGGTGACTTTGTGACTACAGATGGGGTCCAAAACTAGCAAGCAACATGAATGTCTGGGGGCAAATTCATTTGATTTGCCACACAAATATGGCCAGGATCCGTTGAATTTTCTGAATATTGGGTTGCAGATTGGAATTGTCCAAAGGGGGGGTTGTTAAGCATGAAACACTAACAAAATAAAGTGAGGTCAAAGAAAACTTTAGTTAGAAAAAAAAGTTAGCAATGATTGAGAGTCAGAGCGAAACATTTCAGATGTGTGTATCTCACTTTAATTCATGTACCTTTGTTCTTCATGTTTAATTATCTTTGTGTTTTTAAATGCCCTTTTATAATATGTTTCTTAATGCTCTTCATGTCTTTCATTTTTGTAAAGCACTTTGAATTGCCTTGTGTTGAAAGGTGCTGTATAAATAAACTTACTTTTGTCTCAGTGAAAGTGAAGCAGGAGAGTATGCCGTACCAACGCCGCGGCTCTTTGCAGCTCTGGCAGTTTCTCTTGACTCTGCTCGACAACCCGGCCCACGCTCACCTGATCGTCTGGACGGGGAGAAACATGGAGTTCAAACTCATCGATCCTGAGGAGGTGAGACAGAAACACACACAGAGGTGGGAAGTAGTGGAGTACAAATACTTTGTTACTGTACTTAAGTACATTTTTCTGGTATCGGTACTTTACTCCATTTCTTATTTTTCTGACGACTTTTTGCTTTCTACTTCTTACATGTTGAACACAAATACCTGTACTTTCTACTTCTTACATGTTGAACTCAAATACCTGTACTTTCTACTTCTTACATGTTGAACTCAAATACCTGTACTTTCTACTTCTTACATGTTGAACACAAATACCTGTACTTTCTACTTCTTACATGTTGAACTCAAATACCTGTACTTTCTACTTCTTACATGTTGAACTCAAATACCTGTACTTTCTACTTCTTACATGTTGAACTCAAATACCTGTACTTTCTACTTCTTACATGTTGAACTCAAATACCTGTACTTTCTACTTCTCACATGTTGAACTCAAATACCTGTACTTTCTACTTCTTACATGTTGAACACAAATACCTGTACTTTCTACTTCTTACAGTTTGAACACAAATACCTGTACTTTCTACTTCTTACACTTTGAACACAAATACCTGTACTTTCTACTTCTTACATGTTGAACACAAATACCTGTACTTTCTACTTCTCACATGTTGAACACAAATACCTGTACTTTCTACTTCTTACATGTTGAACCCAAATACCTGTACTTTCTACTTCTCTCATGTTGAACTCAAATACCTGTACTTTCTACTTCTTACATGTTGAACCCAAATACCTGTACTTTCTACTTCTCTCATGTTGAACTCAAATACCTGTACTTTCTACTTCTCACATGTTGAACTCAAATACCTGTACTTTCTACTTCTTACATGTTGAACACAAATACCTGTACTTTCTACTTCTTACATGTTGAACTCAAATACCTGTACTTTCTACTTCTTACATGTTGAACTCAAATACCTGTACTTTCTACTTCTTACATGTTGAACTCAAATACCTGTACTTTCTACTTCTTACATGTTGAACTCAAATACCTGTACTTTCTACTTCTCACATGTTGAACTCAAATACCTGTACTTTCTACTTCTTACATGTTGAACACAAATACCTGTACTTTCTACTTCTTACAGTTTGAACACAAATACCTGTACTTTCTACTTCTTACACTTTGAACACAAATACCTGTACTTTCTACTTCTTACATGTTGAACACAAATACCTGTACTTTCTACTTCTCACATGTTGAACACAAATACCTGTACTTTCTACTTCTTACATGTTGAACCCAAATACCTGTACTTTCTACTTCTCTCATGTTGAACTCAAATACCTGTACTTTCTACTTCTTACATGTTGAACCCAAATACCTGTACTTTCTACTTCTCTCATGTTGAACTCAAATACCTGTACTTTCTACTTCTCACATGTTGAACTCAAATACCTGTACTTTCTACTTCTTACATGTTGAACACAAATACCTGTACTTTCTACTTCTCACATGTTGAACCCAAATACCTGTACTTTCTACTTCTCTCATGTTGAACTCAAATACCTGTACTTTCTACTTCTTACATGTTGAACACAAATACCTGTACTTTCTACTTCTCACATGTTGAACCCAAATACCTGTACTTTCTACTTCTTACATGTTGAACTCAAATACTTGTACTTTCTACTTCTCTCATTTTCCAAACAGCTGGTTCCTTTAGTCTGAATGTGTGTTTGGTGCGTGATCATTATTCTTTAGAGTCATTGCGTGCCTATTGATTTGAACACGATCCGTGTATCCATCATTTCCTGGTCTTCTCTAAAGAAGAGGGACCAATGGAAACGTTGTCATGTTGCCGTTGTTCAGCATGGAAACATTCATTAGCTAACAATGACATTATTGTTCTATTAATATAAAGGGAGGTCAGGTACTCTTTAAAACAGCTGCTAATTATGGGTACTTTCTACTGAAGTACATTTCAAAGCCCTCTTTACTTTCACTTGAGTAAAGAAGTTTAGTCAGTACTTCTACTTTTACCAGAGTATTTTTAAACACGAGTATCTGTACTTCTACTTGAGTAAAGGATGTGTGTACTTTTGCCATCTCTGATCACACAGATGGACTTTCTAAAAGGCGTGAATATTCCTTAACCTTTGGAGGAATCTTCACTCGGTGGGACCAAAATAAATGGCCTATTGCCTATAAGAAACTAATAGTTGAATTGAATTGCTGAGAGATATAGGATTCATTCTGATTAGCTGCAGGCTTATTGGACAGTTCAGTATCAGAGGTGAAAGCTATTGTTTGGCTTATGCATTATATTTTATCTGTGTACAGGTGGCTCGGCTCTGGGGTCTGCAGAAGAATCGTCCGGCGATGAACTACGACAAGCTGAGTCGCTCGCTGAGGTACTACTACGAGAAGGGCATCATGCAGAAGGTAAAGGCAGGTTTCAAATTAGTGCCATTTTATCTCAACTTTAAAGGATTTTCTTATGCACTCATCATGAAGATAGCCCATTAACCCTACAAAAAAACACTTAATTAAATCAACTTTATTCTAATTTCAGGTATTTTATTGGTATTATGTCACATTTGTCTTTGGCCATACACATCAGCATACAGTTTACTCAACAAATATTAATGACATAAGACATACAGTACATATACCATTATATTTCTCTCCTGTCTACTGATACAATGACCCTATCTGTGTGAAGTGTTCTTTAAGATAGCCCAATAACCCTAATACAACCACAAAAACAACTGAATTCAATCCATTTTATTCCAATTTCAGGTATTTTATTGGTCTTATTGATATGTCACGTGTCTTTGGTCATACACATCAGTATACAGTTTACACTTAACTCTGCTTACACAAAGACAAACAAATATTAATGACATTAAGGACATACAGTACATATACTATTACATTTATCTCCAGTGATACAATTACCCTTTCTGTGTAGTCTGAATACTGTAGTCCATAATAATAATAACTTAAATGTATAACATTAGAGTAAAACAAAATACACAGAATCACAAAATAATTATTCGTGCATTTTAGTGCATCATTAATTTCTCTCTCCTCTGATTGGCTCGCCCTAGGTTGCCGGGGAGAGGTACGTCTACAAGTTCGTATGCAACCCCGACGCCCTGTTCTCCATGGCGTTCCCAGACAACCAGAGGCCGAGTCTGAAGGCCGACCCGGACGCCATCTTGCCCCCCGGCGAGGAAGAAGGCCCCCCCCCGCCCAGCTATGAGGAGGAGGGTCCCTACCTGGCTGAGGGGGGGGCCTTCCCCGAAAACTACCCTTATTAAACTCCACAGGTTGGACGAAACATGAGATATTTCACAGGAGGAAGCTGAATTACTGAGCAGTGTTTTCAACATGTATACCCGTACGTCCCAGGAAAGAGGAATTCATCAGAACTTTTTTTAACTGTCTTTTAGCCAAAAGTACTGGTTGCAAAATTGGAGATGGTACATGTTTTGTCCAATACAGTTTAATTCTGATTTAGGTCTTAATTGTTTTCTTTTAAAAAGCTTTAACATTTAGATTTAAAGTTATATTAAGAAAATAAGACGCATTACTTCAAGATGTGGTTGTCATTTTGGGAGAAAAGGCTGGATGTCATGGTCCATATTTTGAGGAGAAAATGTACAACTGGTCATAATGTAATTTTGAGATAAGGTCGTAACTTAATTAGAAATTATACTAAAACAAAAAAAACAACAGTACTTTTTCCCATAAACATGCGACCGGTTCTCGGAATATAACAGGTTTTAATATTTGACTCATCAAAAGACAGTTTTTGTTCCTAATTGTGTGACTCACAGCCTGTTCCCCTCAGCCTGCCTGGTTGTACTTTTTGTAGCATGGCCGACGCCGTAGTCCTCGCGTACGTGAACTCTGGGATCTGTATTTCAACCAAAAAATCTCAAAACCATGAACACTCCTTTAACTAATTTACTTCTAATTGTTGTTTTTGCTTGAAAGGGACACACTTGTATTTTCCAGATGTTATAGTCCTCCTATAAACATGTATATTGAGAAATGTCTTTTGTGTACTTTTTCTTGTTTTCAAAAGCTAATATTTTTGGCATTATATGAACTTTTTCCTACTGTTTTATGACAAAGGTACTGCTACTATTTTTCTGTAATACTATCACTATGATGCTACTAATAAGCATAGACTTTCCTACAACCGGCTCATCTGTTATCGCACCAAGCTAGTTTTCTGCATTTTGTATAGTTAATTTGCTTCAATGTGTAGAAAAGGTGTATAATTATATATGAATATATTTTTGCAAAAGGCTGCATTTGCTTGACGTTGTACTATGAGCTGAAAAGTGAAGCCTGCTAATGTATTGTATTAATTCCAGCCTCTGAGAGATAAAGGACTTCCTCCCTGCAGATAATGTAATGGTATATTTTACTATATGATCACAAAGTGGAGAAGCTGGAGAACGATACTGACACCGGTGTAACGTCTGCGCTCAGATACTGTACGTGTGCCTTCTGTTGATCTAACTGACACAATAAAGTATTTTACTCTTTTCTTTCGCCTCAAATCTCTGTCTCCAGTGTCAAAGACTCAGGATGTTACCTTCAAACTACTATAAAGTATATTTATTTAAACAGTAACAAATAAACAGAATACTACATGTGTACATATTAACAGTGAAAGATGTATACCTAGAGTATCTCTATTAAATATACAATTGAAGTCAGTGTACTTTGATAGGCCAGCCTACAATTAAACAATGTTAACTATTTACATTATTTAGAAAGTGAATTACAATTTGGAATAGCCTAGATTGAAATGCACAATGTACAGTTTCGAAAAAAGACATACTGATAAGTGAATTAGGGTTATTAAGAAAAGGAGCAACTAAAATAATAAAAAGAAAGTCGAAGAAACTCATCCTGTGATTCCCATTTCGCTAGGACGCACGCGACTTCGCTCGGGTCGGCGAACAAACAGCTCGAGCGGATACCTCGCACAGACGGCGGTTATGAATCTCCATAACGACGCATGGAGGACGACAAGATGAAACATGAGAGATATGGTGAAAACGACAGAAAGAAGTGAACTTTCCTGTGAGTTATGAGGTCAGTTAAATCCTCAACAAATACACAAACAAACACGAGTCTCTGCGTTTGTTGCTAACTCGTGCTTTCTGTAAAGTTGCTAATTTGTTTGAGGCGAAATAAAAAACGTTTAAACTGTCTAATAAACCTAAATAATGCAGAGGTGAAAAGTCGTGATTATGTAAGGAGGAATTGTGTTTTTATATCGAGTTTTTAAGACTTTCCCCTCTGTTATTGTCTGAGGTAATCACTCCACCTGTTGACTACACAACCAAGCAGTTAAATGTCCTTCAAGTACTTTAAACACGTCATACGTTATAATGTGGTGGATATATGCAGGGGTGCACATAACTTTGTTGCCCTGGTTCTCAAAGGAGCACCTGGAGATGTTGCTTGGTGCTCATCCTTAAAATGAAATAAACCGTAACTTTTGAGGCGGTCTTGATTTTATTTGCCAGACACACGGCACTGAACACACATGCAGAGGTGAACACAGAACACACATGCAGAGGTGAACACAGAACACACATGCAGAGGTGAACACAGAACACACATGCAGAGGTGAACACAGAACACACATGCAGAGGTGAACACAGAACACACATGCAGAGGTGAACACAGAACACACATGCAGAGGTGAACACAGAACACACATGCAGAGGTGAACACAGAACACACATGCAGAGGTGAACACAAGACAACATTAGCACGACCAGTAATCCTACAAGCTGTCATCACTACCCTCCTGACTGTTCTCCTCACTGTCTTCCTCTCTGTCAGACATGGTAGCTGATGATATAGGCCTACTACTTTCTCTCTGGTTGAGTCTGTGATTAGCTGCTTGCATCCACAAGTCAACAGCTGGTTTTGGGTCGAAAGTCTCTGTTGTCATCTTAGACAAGTGGATGTGATCAAATAAGTATGTGAACATAACCAATAACCTACCATAGCCAATAACAAATGAATGTAACTTATTTTATTTTTGTTGTTCATATCTTATTTTACCTTAACATTTATTTATTTATGCATTTTTTTTAATCTTTCCAGTTTTAAAGGATATTTTTGGTTTACTGTCCTATAGTATATATTGGAATGATTTCAAACCTGTTTATCCCAATAATTATAAAGGAGTGCCTTGGAAATATGTGTTTACATAAATTGTGACCAAACCATTTGAACTTAGACTAAAGTTAACTATCTAAACACTCAGAGTTCTTTACCTCACTGAGCTGTAGTCATCAGCCTCTCAGTCTGACTGGAGAGGACTCTCCCTCCACATTATTGTAGAAACATCTTCTTCTTATATCCGTTAGAGCAGCTAGCACCAGATGCTAATAACAACAGCGCGTACCGGTCCCTTTCTCCCTCTCTCCCTCGCTCACTCGCTCTTTGGCTGTGAGTGCCAGATAAGCCAACATCAGTGCTGGAATTGGGCCGGTACTCACCGGTACGCAGTACCGGCACTTCTGGTTCTGACCCATGGAGTACCGGCACTTCTTGCTCAGTACCGGCATGCTGGTGGTACTCCGGTACTCATGCACCGTGCCAGTACTCAACACTCTCCCGCCGTTCTTATTATACATCCATATATATATATATACAGCCGCCCGGTACTCAGTAGATGCGTCATGAGGTGCCGAACGGACATTCTCATCGCTCTAACCGCTGGAGTTTCACAGCGGCTGTCAGCTGTTTACTCCTGTCATTCAAACAGAACGTGCTGGAGAGGGGGCGGGGCTTATCTTCTCCATGTAAATACTGTGGTGGAAACGACTATGTCAAAATTAACCTATTTGACCGTGATTTAATAGTAATACACGTTTCAAAATAATAATAATAATAATAATGCCGAAGTAACAACCTACTGAAAACTGTTAGTAAAACCATGTTTTAATGCTTTACAATTTACATACCTAGATGCACGTGTGTTGTGTTTATGCAGTGCAACTCCCACCCAGTGGGTGGCTATGTAGAGTGATAGAACAGAGCAGGCACGCCCCCGAGAGAAGGAAAGCAAGTCACGTCACAAATTAGCATTTCTAAAATGTTAGCGTGGATTAAAAGTGCAAAAAGACAGCGGTTGTCGACGGAAGAAACTTCAAATACAGAGAATGCTGTGCCTGTGTTGGAAATTGTGTCTGTTGGGGAGCTTTCTTTGGTTGATCCTCCTGCTCCAAGTTCTAGTGCATTAGCATTAGCACTAGCTCCGCCGCCTCCTCCAGAGCCTCTAACGTTAGCTGCTGCTGGCTCAACTGCCACCACCAACACCGGGAAAAGCGATGCACCTGACTGCTGGACAACGGACCAGGTGCAATATGTTTGCAAGACCAATGCATGGCTCCTTCTTAAAGATAAGAAGCTAGGATGTCGGATATGCAGAGATGTCAAATCTTTGGGAATACACACTGGACAAGGACTGAAACTGTCAACTGAATGGGGTGAGTGTGCAGTGTCTCATTTCGGTGTTGACAAGGGCAAACAACAAGCTAGCCTGAGAAAAAAAATCAAAGAACATAAAGAATCACAAGCCCATGTAAAAGCTGCTGACATCCTTACATCTGCTTCACGTGAAACTATTCAACATCAAGTGCAGTCTATGCATAAATCTGAATTAGACACCACTATCAGAGTTTTTCGAACGGCATATACAATTGGCAAACATAGCCGGCCATTCACAGACATGCCAATTGATTTGAATGTACAGAAACTGAATGGGCTGAACGTGGGCAGGGTTTTGCACTCCAATAAAACCTGTGGCGAAATCATCGACCACATAGCTCATGAGCTGAAGAAAAAAATGGCAAAAGACATTACAGAAAAGCAAAGAAAACTCTGTGTTTTGGTCGATGAATCTACCACTATTAGTGGTAAAACGGAGCTTGTTGTGTGTCTACGCTCAGCATTAGTTGATGCTGAGCCCGAAACGTTTTTTTGGGAGCTGATCGAGTTGGATGGAACAACGGCTGATGACATCACAAAGGCGTTAATGGAGTGTCTTGGAAGAGATTTTAACGAGGACTTTTTAGGTCAGTGTTTCGTTTCTTTTGCATGTGATGGGGCTTCAGTCATGCTAGGGAAGAGAACAGGCGTTGCTACCCAGTTGTGTAGTAAATTCCCAAGCCTGTTTGTGTGGCACTGCTCCAATCATCGTCTAGAGCTGGCAGTTGGGGATGTGGTCAAGGAGGTCTCAGGGCTCAATCATTTCCAGATCTTTTTTGACAAACTCTATTCCTTGTTCCATGCCTCCCCCAAAAATCAGAGGCAGTTAGCGCAGTGTGCGCAAGCAGTCGGACAGCGTCTCCTGGTGATAGGGCGTGTTTTGTCCATCCGCTGGGTGGCTTCAAGTGAAAGGAGCGTCAGAGCAGTCTGGGAAAACAACCGAGTGCTTCATGATCACTTCACAAATGCTGCAAACGACACGAGCAGGGATTCCAGAGACAGAGCAAAGTACAAGGGCCTGGATGATGTGCTCACATCGGCAACGTTTGTCAGCAATCTGGGACTGATGTACGATGCGCTCACAGAGCTCAGCGACCTCTCTCGGCAACTCCAAAAAAGAGAGATGACACTGCCTACAGCAGATAGGCTCTTAACTCGAGAAATACGAGTTTTTGAATCCATGGTCACCATGCCTGGCCCACACATGACTACAGTTCATACAGCTCTAGCTGAGAAGTCCTTCAAGGGTGTTGCCCTGCATGAGAATGGCAGGCTTGTACAGATTCATGCAGGTCAGTTTTTCCGCAGTATGGTAGAGAATCTGAGACACAGAATGACTTCCACAACCTCCTCTCATGTCAGCACAAGAGAAATCCCATTACATGGCCGGGAGGCCCGGGACAATCAGCTAATCCAGGACATGAAAGTTATCCATCCTGGAAGTTGGCCTGAAGAGGAGTTAGACGTACAGTATGGGGACGTAGAGGTGCTACGTTTGTGCGAAGTGCTGAAAGTGGACAGAAGAGAGACTGTTCAGGGCTTTCGTGAATACAAGGAAACCAGGGCATCCCGTACACCTGCTGCCATGGAGCCTCTACTGAAAGCAGTCCGAACCATCGCTGTCTCCACTAGTGAGTGTGAGCGGGCATTCAGCTGCATGAACGATATCCTTACTGCAAAAAGGAATGCTCTCTCTGTCAGCCGACTGTCCAGCCTGGTTTTCATTAAATGTAATGGACCATCACTAGGACAGTTCAATCCGGAACAGTATGTGAGGTCCTGGCTGGCAAAGGGAAGGAGAAGTGCTGATGAAAGAGCCTGTCCAGCTCCAGCCCCTGATACTGATGTCCCCAAGGCCTTCTGGAGCCTTTTCTAACAATGTGAAGTATATTGCAAAGCAGCTCACCCAGTGAGAAGACTTTTGGCATAATGTGCCGATTTGTACAGATCCTGGAGATAGAAGGACTTCAGACCAACCAGGGAGTTATCTGATCAGCTTGGTGTTCAATGTAACTCTTTACCATGGCTCAGACTTTGTTACTTGCAGTTACAGTTTCTCATTTTAGATTGTGCAAATTTTGCATTTGTTTTTACATGTTCTTTGTTCATGCTCTTTATCATTTTTCTGAGTTGGAAAGTTAGATTGCATCATAGTTTACTTTATACATATTTGTATTCTTCAGTGGTGAAGTATATTGCAAAGCAGCTCAACCATGTGAGAAGACTTTTGGCACTTTTTCGTTTTTCGTTTTCTGAGTTGGAAAGTTAGATTGCATTCAAAATGTACAGAAATACTTAATTTTGTTAAAGCTTTTTATAAAAAATGCTTCTGACCAGAGCTTTGTTTCCTTGTCATTAATGTTGAACACCACCAGAGGGGCTCTCACCTGAAAGGTCTCTGCTTCATGTGTCTTCAGCAGAAGATCTAGACTTTGATTGCTATATTTTCAGTTGATATTGACCTTACTGAGCTTTAGCCATATCCGCTGCCTATCATAAAAAATGTTAAGTACAGTGAACCTTTCTAAAATATACAGTAGTAAAGAGACAAACCCACCAGCATTATAGTAGCCAAATTCTTGTTTGTGGGCTGTATATATAAAATTGACTTGAAAAAGTTGCTGATTTTAGAGTACTGGCACCTTTTTCATTCCAATTCAAGCACTGGCCAACATCCCCCATTTTCATCACTTACAGCGCCCATCGTACAGGGCAAATGAAACGTGTAACCGGGGTGAAAAGGGTGTTACATTTACTTAATTATGAATATTGTTACATCAAGGCCGAAAATTAGGATGAGCCCCAACGGTCAAAAATGTTTTTTTCCCTCCCAGAGCTGCAGCGCCTCCCCAGATCTGGCGCCCTAGGCGAACATCTATAACGCCACTGCTACGGGCCGGCCCTGAGTTCATATGCAACTCGCAAATATCTTTCTCTTTCTCCTCTCTTCTCTCTCCTCTCTCCTCTCTTTTCTCTTCTCCCTTCTCTCTCTCCCTCTCTCCCCTCTCTCTCTCAATGTTGGTACGCAAATGCGCCTTTTTTCAAATGACCCAGTGCTCTTTTTTTGGCGGAGGTGCGCATGCGCACCAGTTATGTGCAGCCCTGGATATATGGTTTGTTAAGCTTATTGCATTATTTTGTGTAACATATTCAGCAGCAGTTGTCCTTTACTGTGCACCTTTAATTTACAGCAAATGTTGCCTATTTTCTGGCATTGCTTCACATTAGCATCTGCGAAACTGTGTCTGACTTCTCTGATTCAGCAACGACTCAGTATATCTAGTGTTACTAAACAAGTGTTTTAATGTGATACAACTTGCCACAGATCCCAAAACTAGGTCATTTAGTGTTTCCTTAAAACACACTTTCATATAAGCTTAAATGTTTTAAATAGATATGAATGAAACTGGGGGAAAAAGTGAATTATTCAGTGTGAATATCCTATTGTTCTACACTACACACGGCTAGCTTGAATGTTTGCAACATGGTTTACTTTGCAACTAATATAAATAAATTCAACTTAAAATGTTAATATTATTTATTTTGTGTTTCAGTGAATGGACACACTGTGGGAACGATGGAAGATTCTTCACGTTTTTTTTATTTTTTATTCATTAACATTATGCACCTTTCCTCTTTCCAATGTTGATTAAAGTGCAGTTGCGATGGATGTTAAGACAGGTGCTTTTGTTTGTCACACACTTGTAGAAATGCAGCTTCAATGGAGGACATCTGGGAAGAATCCAGAGCAGCTGAAGGATCATCTTCTCTCTTCTGAAGCTCTGAGGTAGGACATTTTTGATATATTTACCAGCTGCTGTGTTTGGTGTTGAAAGCATACCACATGTTTGAGCTTCTTTACCCTTGGACACTCATTCAGTCTGATTTACACTTCCTGAGACGATCCTTACTCCTATTGTGGCGTTTGAAACATATGTATATAATATGTAGTCCAGCTGTTTGTTTGTGTTGACATTTAGCCTCTGACTGACTCACAGGAAACTCCAGATGTTTCCGCGGTTTTCCTCCAGTCTTCCTCCTTAGTTGTTCTCTTCCTCCATACATATTTATGGAGCAGCTTCATTACTATTTGTGCAAACTATCTGATCAATTTGCCCTCTTTTCGCTGAACATAAGCATAAGAGTACTTGAAGACAAATGAAGAAATACAGCGTTATTTTAGCTGAAAAAGAAGGATGTTTTGTGGGGATGATGAGCCATGCATGCCCAGAAAGCGTCATCAATTAAATAAAAACAATGACGTTTATAGCATCCCAGACTTTTTTTGATGTTTCGAGGTGCTTTCTCATGACCCAAATATAGTCGTGTTGCTAGTAAACTACTACAGTAGAAGCTGACAACAAGTATTTAGCTCCATCTGGTGGACCTAATGAATACAGCAGTGATAGATCCACAAGTAAACCCAGTGCAGTGGTTGCTGCTGGTATCATTGTTTATTTGATAATATCTTAACTTTCTCTTTGCTCCTAGTAACACAGCTTTAATGAATGTGATGCACCTGGTTGGATTGTTTGATTATTGATCTGGTTATTGAAGGACAGGGGTGATAATACACCATCAACTTGAGGACATGCCTTAACAAAACTCAGGTTGTAAGTGCAATAAAAAGACAATTAAACATACAATTTTAACCGGCAGGCATTTGAACTTTATTGGCATTTTTGCAAGAAATCATTGGTCATTAAATTCCAGTTACAATAAATGCATAACACCTGTTTCAGACGACGTTACAAGGATTACCTCGGACAAAAAATGGTTTGGCTGCCGTGTCATTTTTTCTTTCTTTCTTTACAAACAAAGAAATGTGGTTAAGATTCATTCTAATATGAACCCTTACTCGTTCAGGTGGATAAATCATGCAGCAGAGCTTTGAGTCGCTGAAAGAGGCTTTAGGGTTCGAAAGAGAGGGAAGAAAAGCATTTTAAAAGTAGAGTAGACGCAACGCAACAAGACACACAATAACAATATTATCATTTTTGAAAAACAAAAAAGTGCAAAAGGCAAATTATCCATTTGGGATGATTAAGAATTCCAGTTGTTAAACTTGGATGGCTACTAGTTTCTCTCTCTACCCACCACATCAAGTTAAGCAGATCCACACATCATACTGTACAGAAAGTTATTCAAAGTGCAAATATTATGAATTGGCATAAGCTGGTATATACATTTCATTTTTCTGGATGACAAAAATAATCACAAAAAAGCCTGTTTTGATTCGTCCAGTCAGGATCCATTTCCACGGCTTCGTCGCTGTATCACTCACTGATAGTTCTGTTTACCAAATGATTTCTCTACCTATAACAGGAAACATCGTCAAAACGCTTCTCGCTGTATGAAAATATCTTTTTTTTCCTGATCATAAAAGCTAAAGTCCGAGGGCGCGATCCAAGTGTTTCTCTGCATGAACAACCAGTCATATTTTAATAGTTTTTATTACAATGACTAGTAATCAAAATATTGTGTTGGCGAGTGTGCTCCGTTCACACTCAATATCTGATGAATACACCTATTCCACGATCACAGGACTATTGTAGGTCTTTACAAATCACTACATTGCATACAGCTCTTTTATTCCTAAGAGTTTTATTCTAACCTGGCACGCAACCATATTTCAAATGCTAATTATTAATATTATGAAGCTGCTTTCCTCCGATCTGGAAACACTGATTCATCTCCAAAGAGCCTCCTCTGATCTCCTCAGTTACCGTTTCTCCAGATGTGTTTCAGAAACGTGAACAGAGATTTGGTTTTGATAGTTAGGCAGATGCTTTTCCATTTGTCTTTGATTCAAGTGTAGCCCTGCTCCTCTAAGTATGTCATGGTGAACATCTTCACTGCATGGGTCAGATCAGCAAGTCTTATAAAAGGCTTTTTTAGTAAAGCACACATTTGTCTGCTAGTGGCTCAAAAAGAGAGTATTAAAAATATCTTGTTTCCTTTTCCAGCTATTTCAAAATACCTAATTTTTGAATTAATTGAGTTCTGTCATATTTTAAGAAACACTAAAAGCTTCTCTCTGCGATCAGGATGAAAATATTCTACATTTCCTCTTGGCTCAGATGTTAGAAGGATGCACACTGTCAGCTCAAGGAGACTGACTTTCGCCACACGTTAGTTAAAATGTAAAAATGCTACAATAAAGTAAGACTTTTTCCAAACTCCCTGAACTTAAACATTGTGGAATGGCTTAGCGAGTGCTCAAACTGCTCCACAATATCATTTCATGAGCAAAAGGTCAATCAAGCTGCACTCTTGATCCTTGATCTTTGTCGCATTAATGATCGGTGAAGCTGACGGGGAGATTTTAATATCAAATGTTTCCACTTCCTGTACATTGTCTGTTTGTAAATGTCAGACAGAAGCTGGAAGCACTGGTGTCTCGTTTGTTTACACAGGGGAAGTTATTGCGTTGTTGTTTCATTGAAATAGTTCCATTGTGATTACATTTAATCAAGAATGATTGTATCGTATTGAGATACATGACGCATACATGGGACCCTTTCTTAAATGTTAAGAGCTTTGAATCAAAGGGAAATGAAAAAGAAAGCCAGGGAGGAGATCTGATCATCAAAGACTTGTTTTTCGACTGAGTTCAGTGAGGCGTTTTTTAATGAGACTAGTAGCACTTTCTCCCTACGTTCACTTCCCCGTCTCCTCTCTTCACTGCAAGGCTTCTCACTCAGGTCATTCGAGGAAGGGGCGGGGGCTGGGGGGGGGGGGGGGGGTTTACATCAGAAAGGAATGGTTATAATGTGGAAACCTGTGAGAAATCAGATAAAAAACATTACAGAAAGAAGGCAGCGATGTTGTGACCTATTTTTTCGAAGATATTTACCTTTTTAGTAGAGGAAGAACAGGCGTGTTCTATGGTTAGTCGCCATATTCTCTGACATGTTGCGGACTTTAAGATAGTTAATGAATCCCCTGAAGAACAGCAGGATGCCTGAGGAGGGAAAAGACAGTTCACTTGAGAGTGGGCAAAATAATGCAAGACTTTAAAAATGAATAAACATTGCAATATATTTACCGAGCAGCAGGAAGATCCACCAGAGCCAGTATTGCCCGTTGAAGTAGCCGTTGAAGTAGTCGGAGAACTGAACACACGGACCGTCACATTCAGTACACAAGGAAGTTACAATTCAATTAGGCACAGAAAGTACAACTGTGAACGTACCCTGACGATGAGGATCCACTTGATGAGGGAGAGGCCGAAGCCGCAGATTGCTCCGTAGCGTCCGGCGATGGTGTTTGTCAGACAGAAGGAGAGGCAGAACCCGATCCAGTTAAACAGGAAGGCCACTGCGGGGAAAACAGATGTTAAAAACGACAAAAAGAAAGAAATGGCAGGGGTAAACACAGAGGCAACCACTCAAATGGTTTTAAAGAGACGGACATAGCAATGCCAAGTCTTCAAAACACTTATTTATTGCAGAATCAATAATAAAGAAATGTGTTTTTGCGCTGGGCATTTATGTAGGGTGAGAATTGCATGTTGTTGGAGGCGGATTAGGACTACTTTAAATGAAATGCAGACACAAGACGATAATCATCTTAATGTTGGCCTTGTGTGACGTCACGTTACGCCATGTGTTTACGTCAGGAACAATCCTAAAAGGGATACATGACACTGGAGTTGAGAAATGATAATATGAATCGAGGCTCAAGCCCTCAGACTTACTGAAAAAGGCCAACATGAAGATTCCATCGTTCCCAACTCGGAGCTGATCGGCGTCACTGAAATCGTCTCTGGGAGGGAATTCATCATCCTGCATTTACCAAAACACATTCAGTTAAACATCCACTACACAAAGTCCACAGATCACCCTGAGAGCGGTTTGACTAAGAGGCGTTGCCACAGATCATCTCTAAATCAACTCTAAAGAAGAATGACTCGTCTGATACTGGTGGAATTCATCATATGTAGCTTAGCACATAAGAGACGTAATACAACCTCTACCTGTAATGAAGACCCAATTACTACCATTTATTTAGTTCATAAGTGTCTGTAAGTTGCAGAATCAGCATCCCAAGCTTGCAGTTAATTGTACTTTACAAGACTTTAATGAAACAAGGCAATAGAAACACAGAACAGTGAGCGTGTGTCCTCACCAGTGGCATCACATCCACAGCGGAGGTAGCCAGTGCGGCTGCTTTGGCGTTCTCTGCTTCGTCATAAGTGGGCAGTGAGGTGGCGACGCTGTAGGGGGGGGGCACTGGGAAGTCCGCTCTGTAACCGGTCTCTGTGGGGAGAAACAGAGAGCGAGAAGAGGGGGTTAAAAGGTGGAAGAAAATCATTATCATGTCTTCTGGGACTGCCCTGTTATGGAGGTCTTTTGGAGAGAGATACATAATGCCAAATGTCATGTTCCCATGGAGAGTAAGACTTTGTTTTTTTGGACTCATACCTCAAGAATGGACTGAAAAAGCTGATATGTATAAAATCTGTTGCTGGTGGCGAGTAAAAAAGCTCTTACAAAGAAGTGGTTATCACCTGATAGCCCAACTTTAAACGCATGGATCGATATTACCATGGACATTTACAAAATGGAGAGGATAACATCATCTGTCAATCACAAACTGGAACTATTGGATGGAGAAAGTGGACTGATTTCGTAAAACCTCATAGGCCAGATTTTACAAACATGATTTCACTGAAGTCCTGATCGCTCCCTAATGTTCGTATTGTTCGGACAGACAAACTTAAGATGTACAATTACTATGTCTTGAAAAAACCACTAATTGTTTGCTGCCAAACGTCAATAAAAGAAAAGGGGAAGAAACAGGACTGCGGCTAATAAAGCTAATGTGTTAGCGCTGTCATGGAAATAACTGACTCGTGAGTTAGGAACTGGAAAATAGAGGAAGTAGATAATACAGAGTGTGGTTCAGTGCGTACCGGGTGCAGCGGTGGCTCCCAGGTCGATGGAGGCGTAAGGGGGGGGAGGAGCCTCAGAGTCAGACTCCCCCTGAGCGATGGATCCCGATGCTTCCCCTGCCAGCACCTGGTTCTGGTTCTGGTCCGGGCTGGATGTGGCAGCCTGGACGGAGGCAGAAGTGCACGGCTGCGGCTCGCTGGTCGAGGCCTCAGAAGAGTCGTCCTCATTGTGGAACTGGTACATAAAACAGATATAATAGTGCAAGTAAATACAATAAAATAGAATAGGAATAGTCTATATGCAAGGAATATTGATATGAGTTGCAGACAGATGATGAATGTTATGGATGTCCTTTCAAAAGTTCAGGTTATTAACAGTCTTATTGTCCCTGAGTCTGGTGCATGATATCAGCTGATCAGTCGGGGTTAGAGAGTTGGGCGATATCAGCTGATCAGTCAGCCGAACAAACGAGTAGCTGCTCGAGGCGAAGTGTCAAGTTTCTAAAACTGGCATTAATCAGGACGGCTTTTTAGAGAGAAAAAAGAACAGCTTTCTGTAGAACACCATGAAACAGGGCCATTGATATTTAAGCTACGTATTCAACCAATCAGTTTTACAGTGGCACTGAAAGCTGCACTGCATCAGGTAGTTATTAAGTAACTTATGAGCTTTACACAATCTGTTTTTGTTTGTCAGCGCAGAATGTGGGTCAGGCAGAACGGATTCTTGGTCCCTTTTCTCTGTTGATACTCTAAGCTGAGCGAGTGTGTGTTGACAAAGACAACAACTTTGAAAAACATGCAGTGTGAAGTTGGTTGAATCTTCAAAGTGTATGATGGATGTTTCCAGTAGTTTAGATATTACTGTTTATATCACAGTACTAAGAATACAAGTGTAGTACTGGTTAGTTTGTCTTCATAAGTTATAGTCCCTTCAAGTTTTATGAAATTAAACCACATTTATTTCACATTTTGAGGCCTGCATGGTCGCATTTATATTGAGTTATTACCTCTCCATGTAGTAGTTGAACTGGTATCGGCGTGTCCACTATTCCCACATTGTATTCAAATTGCCTAACTATGAGGGATGTAAACCCGCTCCTTTGTATCTCATTGATGACAGCTTCAGTGTCTGAGCTGTATGAATTTACTGCAAATGAAAAAATACCTTTTTAAACTGGCTTAACACACGGTGGCTTTTATCGCGGTGCTTCCACTGAATTTACAACCTTGGATTTAACAGCTATCTGGAAGTATTTGTGGAGTTGAAAAAGTCTGCAGCTCATATGTTTGCAGGGTCGTAACTTCCCCGTCTGACCTTCAGCAGAATGTTTGACACGGTAAGCAAAGAGACGTGAGACTGCAGTGGCATGTCGACACAGGAAGGTCTCTGAGAGCGTGATGCGTTCATGTAATCGGTTAATAAGAGACTCCACTACAGCCTAGAGAGTGACAGAAACCAGAGACAAACACCCTCTGAAATTACAGAGAAGCTGGCGGGAAAACTGCATGGGCAAAGTGTGGGAGAAATTCACACAGTATCCCTCAATCTAATGCTCAATAATAACTATATTGACCTGGATCAAATATATGTTTTTTAATCCTATATTATTGGGGAAAAGTCAGCAGTCCATATAATGTGGTGACTTTATGGTCCGTCAGTGGTGTGTTCCCCTTAGATTAGACTGTTATTGACAGATAAGAACTGTAGACGACTACTTCAATGTGGCTGAGCAAGTTCAACTAGTTTAGAGCCGTTTAAAATATTTCTTATAAAACGAGATTGAAAGAAGGAAGTGACGCCTGTTTGAGTACATTCCTAGAACACAATGTCCAAAGCTAGTGTTATGCAGTTGATCTGCTGACTTGTGTTGATACAAAACATCGAAAATGTAATCACTTCTACCATTTCAGCCATTTCCTCCATTGCAGTTTTGTTGTTACGGTTGTGTTGAATACAAAGTTGAAACCTATTTATCTACCAGGAATGATAATGATCCGTGTTATACCCATGTGTATGAAAGGTAGGTTAAACAAAGTAAGTATTTACTTAAGACTTAAAGGAAATATTCCTGTTGTGGTAAAGCAACACCCTCTGTAATAACAGCTGACTGATAACTACAGTCAGAGCTCAACTATCTACTAACCGTAGTCAAAAAGGAATACAGTGTAGTCCTTATTAGAAGGACACTTGTTCAGTGAAATGAAACCAATTGAAACCACCTTGCAGCGGTTAGAGTGAATGAGTGGCTGAGAATCAAGGGCAAAGTATATCACACCCCCGCACACAGGACATTACATAAGATGGTAATAACATAGCCTCCTTGTATGTCCCAATATACCCAAAAACATGTGGGCCTGCTCAGAGAAGCAATACCATGTACTTAAAGCAATTTTAAGTGTTATTTAGGGAAGAATAATACAGCTAAAGGGAAAAAGGCATTGAAGATCAGGCTGTCTAAAAACCACAAGAGATAACTTTTTTCTTTTATCAGCGAGGCGAGAATATGTCGTACAGCAAAGTGTCAAAACACATCCTTGAGAACACGCTGTTTAAAGCTGATTTAATCTCTGACATTTTGAAATCTGCACTTTGTTCCAGGGTTGAACAATTAGAGTTTGCTTTGGCTCGCACTGAATCCTGAGGGATTATAACTCACATGCCCAGAACCACAGGCATCAAGCACAAAGCGCACTTTAAGTGACCACCAACATGTCATGTCAGCTCAAACATCACCACATTGTCAGGTTGCCTTCTTTTTCCATCCCTACACCCACATAGCTTTTTTTCTCATAGTGGTAACACACATTTTACTGCCACGTGTAATCTCAATTAAGTTCTTAATTAAAATGTATGCAATGGGTTATAACATAGTCTGATCACTTATAACAGTTAGTTACTTTGTTATTATCATTTTTGCTAATATCACAATGTTAAATGTCTTTATGGTCCTACCTAAGAGATGGTTTATCAAGTGTATCACATATTTAATCAGGATGTTATCTTTCAAAGCTTAAATAAATGAAGCAAACGTAAAAAAGCCCAACAATTTAATCAATTTTAAAACACCTTAATTCATTGTATTTCATTGTAAATGTTGTTTTTAACCTTATTTTTTGTGTACATAATGCCCTCAGTTTGAATTATTGTAACAAAAATTGATGTGATGTGGTTTTTTCTTCTGATATATTTGAACAATTGTTGTTGTGGCTACAACAAAGAAACAACAACAAAACAAGATTAATTTCTGCTACATAGCTAACGTTAGCTTAGCAGATGCGGAAGTGCCAACTGTCAGTCAAAACATCACAATCTGAGGAAAAATAAACACCTTAAATGCAACAAAAATAACAATTTAGAAGCAAAATGACTTGTTTGACTTTATTATCTTTGTGATATGTGTGATATAATTTAAAATAAGTTTACCAAGGCCTTGTTTCCTGTGACAGGCCGAGCTATGATTCGGTGTTTTGAATATTTCTCAGCCCAAACTCACCACTTGGTATCGGCTCGTTGGATCCATCCCGACCGGATTCAGCTGGGAAAACTACCCAGAAGAAAACCTTTGAGTTGTTGTCACTCCGATAGAGACTCCCCTCACAACAAACCTAGAATAAACAGCAGGAGAAACAATCAGAAATGGCTGCTATGTACAGCCGCTTTAGAAAAACACCGTTCCTGGTGAAAAGCAACGGTCAGACGGTTTCTTTGACTCGATCACTTCCTGTCGGATATTTCAAAATAAAATGTATGATTGATTGATTGAAAAGTTTATTAACAGCTTGTATATTGGGTACAGTACAGTACAGCTCAAAACATACAATTGTTAAGGGGATGCAGACCAGAGAAAGACTTTCGTCTTGTTTACATCAGGGTCCCCCATTTCCAATTCATCATGTCATTTAAGACATATAAGACATATAAGACATACAGATGGCTTATTTACAATTTACATACAGGTGGTTTTTACATACAGATGGCTTATTTACAATTTTCATTTTAGATTTCGTTCTAATACATCCTAACCGGACATTTAAGACATACCAAGTCTACAGATATACAGTTAGTAACAGAGTCTAAAATGCGAGTATATACATAGATGGGGGGGGGGGAAGCTGTCCATTGAACGACAGGTTGAGATTTGTACCATTACCGGGGCCAGTTTTGCAATGCTCTCCCCCGAAGGTGCTCTTTAAGAGAGGTTTTGAAGGTAAGTATAGTTTTACTTTCCTTTACAGTTGTGGGAAGAGCGTTCCACCTTGATTGTGGCATCATTGCGAAACGTGTATTCCCCCTTTTTTGTGCCAAATCTGGGTTTCACATGATTTGTGGAGCTCCCTCTGGTGTTATGATCATGGTATTCCTTGACCTTTGGGAAGAATTTTGACATGTACATGGGTACCATAGAGGTGTAGTGGATCTTGTAGACCAGGCCCATTGCAAGTAGCTGTACTCTGTCGTCTACTCTAAGCCATCCTAGGTTGTCAAAGTGGGCAGAGGTGAGGTGGGTTCTAGATGAAAGGTCAAGCAGTAGTCTGACCAGTTTATTTTGCGATGTTTGAAGTTTTATTTTTAGCGCCTTGGAGGTGCTATGGTACCATGACGTGCAAGCATAGTCATAGTACCCTTGAATGAGTGCTCCTGCCAGAGTTTTCAGGGTGTTTTTGTTTACCAGAGAGGAGATCCGGTATAGGAATCTAGTTCTTTGATTGACTTTTTTTATTACATTGGATGCCATTTTGTCACAGGAGAGGTTTGCCTCAAGAATAGATCGTAGAACGATGTAATGCATCATAATTAGTATTCAAATAACAGTCACATAATAATAATACAGTAATAATCAACGAATAATTAATAACCTTTGATTCCAGTTTTGGCTTTAACTTTTAGTCTGATAAATATAACTGTAATATATAAAACATATATGTTGGACTGTATTTCTTGTCTTAATTTCTCTTATGTACATTGCCTTGTTTTTTTTATGCTGCTGCAACGCATATCTATCCATCTATCCATCCGTCTATCCGTCTGTCTGTCTATCCGTCCGTCCATCCATCCATCTATCCATCTATTTAGTTGTATAATATTGCATCACATTTTAAAGGCTGATTTGTTATTAAAGTACAATCTGAAATGGCAAAGTAGGTCATTACAAACGCCATACAATTGATTGTTATCATCTCTAGTATTATACTGATCTTATACCATACTTAACATATTTAAATACCATAGTTTTTTAATAAAATGTAGCCATAAATTAATGAATACTAATAATAATAATAATAATAAATATATAGCCTTCAAAACTGACCTTAAGTACAGTTCTTGATATACTTGGGTTCCTTCTACCACTGCTTTAGAAAAATGATGTAGTAGTACTCACTCTAACCATCTTCTTATCAATATGTTTTGCTTTTTTATTATTATAACGATTTCGACGTGTTATTTTGAAGGCCAACTCCGCGTGGCTCTTGCTAACTTGATGCAGGGGAAGGTTTACAGAATACCACGGATTGAGCAAGCGATGACGCAAACCACAAATGAACAGATGAGACACTAGGTGGAGCCAAAATCCAGTTTATATCATGGACATAGCTTTGCATGCTTCAGTTGTTCAAAGATACAACACAACAACATACATCTCTTTAATTACTGATCTCTTTTAAAGCATTGTGGAGCTATGTTGGTAGCAGGTAGCAGTAGACCATGAAGAAGGAGGCTATAGCAGAAAGCATTTTTTGATCCAATTGTGAAAGCCTTAATGAGAGTAACTTTTGACAAGGAAAAAAAACACTAGCCAGTAGAGACAGCTGAGTTGTGACCAACATGGCTCTAGAACAATCCACATTTCTTTTGCATGATGCATGAACTTTTGATGCACTTCGAAGTCAAAGACATTTATATGAAAAACCTTTTGACCTTCCCAGGTATTGTTCCTCTTTTTGCTGTGTTCTTCTCTACTGTCCTGAGGATCTCTTAAAGCCTCTAGGTCACATGTGTCAAACTCAAGGCCCGGGGGCCAAATCAGGCCCTTGGTGGATTTAATTTTGGCCCGCCGGTATATTGCACGCACACCTTCACTCCATCCTGAGGATCTCCTCCGCTCAGAGCCTGACCCCAAACATTGATGACCTTGCACCCAAGAGGAGATGCCAAGTATTTGCTTGAACTAGCATCACAGAGCAGCAATCTGAGTTTAATGGATGTTTCCTGTTGCACTTTGTTTCTTGCGACAACAGGGCATGGTTTTCTCTTTGAGGGAAATAGTTTTTTTGAAGCTGTTGTTGGCCTGTGGAAAAATGTACTCATAAGAAATGACTCTGCAGATAGAGCCATAAGAAATGAATGCAACTGATTGTTGGGGAAATATGTTCCAAGATCCATAACTTTGACCCAGTTCATCAGTTCATACTGTCCAGCACCTGTAACCTTGGCTGAACAGTGTTGTGTCTCCCTGTTCCTGCCGGTTGGCGTCAGCTGATAGAGGTGTTATGATTCTATCTTGTTATGCACAGTGTTGATTATTCTCTCTGATCTAGCTAAATGCACGGGTCTGGGGTAGAGTTCTTCAGAATTGACGTGGCAACTCTCCCGTGAAGTCAGAACCTCTGACTCTTGGACTTGTTTTGTGAATTCTCCGGCCGAAGCTCCAAATAAACCCGTCAGTGTTTGACATCAAAGCTCCAACTCTCCTCGTGTCTCTCTGAGTCCTGACTCTCCATTGCTACAGAAGTTTCCCTTACACTGATTATTTAATGTTTAATGTTGTTTTTATAGGCAATCATTTAAGCTTTGTTAGTTCCATGTTTAATATGTGCAATACGTTCATTTCAATATGTTTTGCAATAAACATTGAACCAGTCCGGCCCTCGACTAGTACCCATTTTTATATTTTGGCCCACTGTGTATTTGAGTTTGACCCCCCTGCTCTAGGTGATTCCTTTCTTTTTAGAGATCTGTTTTTCTGTATGTGAAACATCATATGAACAAACAGGTCCTGACCCCCCTGAGCTCTCTCCTGCAGAGACTAACCTCAGCAGATCATATTTGTTTGGATTGCACGCTGCAATATGTTGGCAACACTTACATAAACTGTGGGTCATATAGGAGGCATTTGTGTCCTTACCGCCTCCTGAAGTTCACTCTGTCATGTGTTCCTGCCTCCGGGCTAATCCTGGATCAGCATTGCAGTGGATCAGCGCACAATAGGCTCTTGGTACTTTCTATGAATGCAAGTACTGGAGTTTTACGGATAAAGCACAGAGAGGTTCAGAAACCATTAGGGATTGACTTTAAAGGGATAGTTCAGGTTTTAAAAATGTATAACCTGCAGGAAGCCTCGCCGCAGTGCATCATTAAGAATATAATGCATATTAGTTGCTGTAATGCATTACTAATAGTATGTTATTTCTCACATTATTCATTTATAACCCCATGACTTGCACTGTATTCCTATCAATATGCTAACAACTGCTCCCTCTAACACTTAAGATGTGCAATGAGTGGTTTGTTGAAGCCCCGAGAGTGTGATTAGGCGATGTCCTGACACGCCTATCAGCTCCATCTATCACATTAATACCATTCCTTCAATTTGCCAAAAGCTGGGTAAAGCCACCCTAAACAGGGCGAACAATGAAAACACAGCGAGGTATTGATAAAAGGCTCTTCTTGAATTAAATATTAATCCCATTCGCTAAGAAGAGGATTACTGTAGTACATGTATCAGTTAAGCAGCTCATGCTGAGACAGAGGGTGAAAGGGGTTGGAAGAAAATGTGAAAAACACGGGGAAAAAAAGGGAAAAAGCCCTGTGCAATAAAGTGCATCATTAAGTGTTTTGCCCTTTGCAAGGCGGCAGGCATTAGCATCAGAAAGGATTAAAGTGGAGATCTATGACTTCCTTCCTGGCTGTACCTTTTTAAAGCAGCAGATCTGCAGCAGGGGAAGGACGACTTGAAGTCATTCTCCCAGCTGCTGTTAGAAGCCCATTACGGCACTTTAGCACATCCATCACACACACACACACACACACACACACACACACACACACACACACACACACACACACACACACAACACACACACACACACACACACACACACACACACACAACACACACACACACCTGCATGAAGACACCCACACACCCACACCCACACACACACACACACACACCTGCATGAAGACACCCCCACACACACACACAAACACACACACCTACCTGCATGAAGACACACACACACCTGCATGAAGACACCCACACACACACCTACCTGCATGAAGACACACACACACACACACACCTGCATGAAGACACGCACACACACCTGCATGAAGACACCCACACACACACCTACCTGCATGAAGACACACACAACACACACACACACACACCTGCATGAAGACACCCACACATAACACACACACACACACACACACACACACACACACACACACACACACACACACACACACACACACACACACACACCTGCATGAAGACACCCACACATACACACACCCACACACACACCTACCTGCATGAAGACACACACATACACACACACACCTACCTGCATGAAGACACACACACACACACACACACACACACACACACACACACACACACCTGCATGAAGACTGTAGAGTTATATTTGTATTTATTCATGTTAGCAAACTATGGATAAGCTTAA